GGACTGGTGACCTACCAGGGGTCACACTATGACTGGTGACCTACCAGGGGGTCACACAAGGACTGGTGACCTACCAGGGGGTCACACTAGAACTGGTGACCTACCAGGGGGTCACACTAGAACTGGTGACCTACCCGGGGTCACACTATGACTGGTGACCTACCAGGGGGTCACACTAGGACTGGTGACCTACCAGGGGGTCACACTAGGACTGGTGACCTACCAGGGGGTCACACAAGGACTGGTGACCTACCAGGGGTCACACTAGAACTGGTGACCTACCAGGGGGTCACACTAGAACTGGTGACCTACCAGGGGTCACACTATGACTGGTGACCTACCAGGGGGTCACACTAGAACTGGTGACCTACCAGGGGGTCACACTAGAACTGGTGACCTACCAGGGGGTCACACTAGGACTGGTGACCTACCAGGGGGTCACACTAGAACTGGTGACCTACCAGGGGGTCACACTAGGACTGGTGACCTACCAGGGGGTCACACTAGGACTGGTGACCTAAGAGTCAGGTCAGTTTAGCCGGGGTTGGTGGGAGAGGAAGGGAGAGTGTGTGGGAGGGGAGACAGAAGGGGAGGGAAGGAGCACTATGGGAGGGTAATGGGGGAGGGCGGGGGCCATGGTACCAGCGTCTGGGAGGGGTAGGGTGGGAGGGGGCGGCACGGGGCGGGGATAGATGGGAGTGGGTGGGATAGGAGAGGACGGTGCGGGCCAGGAGGGTATATAACAGCAAGATATTCACCCAAAAATAGCACAGCTGCCTTGACTCTCAGGGGCCTCGTCCCCCCCTCACCCCCCTCCCCACTGGTCACCCCCCCCTCACCCCACTGGTCCCCCCCCCTCACCCCACTGGTCACCCTCCCCCCCCTCACCCCACTGGTCACCCCCCCCCCCTCCTCACCACTTTACTATTCCTCTGATTGATACGAATTTAAACATGGAGGTGAGAAGGTTGTAGAGTTGTTGTTGTTGTTGTTGTGTGTGTGTGGCGCGAAACTGGGCGACCGTCCACTGGCCGGCACCGTCCACTGGCCGGCACCGTCCACTGACCGGCACCGTCCACTGGCCGGCACCGTCCACTGGCCGGCACCGTCCACTGGCCGGCACCGTCCACTGGCCGGCACCCGTCCACTGGCCGGCACCGTCCACTGGCCGGCACCCGTCCACTGGCCGGCACCCGTCCACTGGCCGGCACCCGTCCACTGGCCGGCACCCGTCCACTGGCCGGCACCGTCCACTGGCCGGCACCGTCCACTGGCCGGCACCGTCCACTGGCCGGCACCGTCCACTGGCCAGCACCGTCCACTGGCCGGCACAGTCCACTGGCCGGCACCGTCCACTGGCCGGCACCCGTCCACTGGCCGGCACCGTCCACTGGCCGGCACCCGTCCACTGGCCGGCACCGTCCACTGGCCGGCACCGTCCACTGGCCGGCACCCGTCCACTGGCCGGCACCCGTCCACTGGCCGGCACCCGTCCACTGGCCGGCACCGTCCACTGGCCGGCACCGTCCACTGGCCGGCACCGTCCACTGGCCGGCATCCGTCCACTGGCCGGCACCGTCCACTGGCCGGCACCGTCCACTGGCCGGCACCCGTCCACTGGCCGGCACCGTCCACTGGCCGGCACCCGTCCACTGGCCGGCACCGTCCACTGGCCGGCACCGTCCACTGGCCAGCACCGTCCACTGGCCGGCATCCGTCCACTGGCCAGCACCGTCCACTGGCCGGCACAGTCCACTGGCCGGCACCGTCCACTGGCCGGCACCGTCCACTGGCCGGCACCTGTCCACTGGCCAGCACCGTCCACTGGCCGGCACCGTCCACTGGCCGGCACCCGTCCACTGGCCGGCACCGTCCACTGGCCGGCACCGTCCACAGGCCGGCACCGTCCACTGGCCGGCACCGGCCACTGGCCGGCACCGTCCACTGGCCGGCACCGTCCACTGGCCGGCACCGTCCACTGGCCGGCACCGTCCACTGGCCGGCACCGTCCACTGGCCGGCACCGTCCACTGGCCGGCACCGTCCACTGGCCGGCACCGTCCACTGGCCGGCACCGTCCACTGGCCGGCACCGTCCACTGGCCAGCACCGTCCACTGGCCGGCACCGTCCACTGGCCGGCACCGTCCACTGGCCGGCACCGTCCACTGGCCAGCACCGTCCACTGGCCAGCACCGTCCACTGGCCAGCACCGTCCACTGGCCAGCACCGTCCACTGGCCAGCACCGTCCACTGGCCAGCACCGTCCACTGGCCAGCACCGTCCACTGGCCAGCACCGTCCACTGGCCAGCACAGTCCACTGGCCAGCACAGTCCACTGGCCAGCACCATCCACTGGCCAGCACCGTCCACTGGCCAGCACCGTCCACTGGCCGGCACCCGTCCACTGGCCAGCACCGTCCACTGGCCAGCACCGTCCACTGGCCAGCACCGTCCACTGGCCGGCACCGTCCACTGGCCGGCACCGTCCACTGGCCAGCACCGTCCACTGGCCGGCACCGTCCACTGGCCAGCACCGTCCACTGGCCTGCACAGTCCACTGGCCTGCACCGTCCACTGGCCAGCACAGTCCACTGGCCGGCACCGTCCACTGGCCAGCACCGTCCACTGGCCAGCACAGTCCACTGGCCAGCACAGTCCACTGGCCAGCACAGTCCACTGGCCAGCACCGTCCACTGGCCAGCACCGTCCACTGGCCGGCACCGTCCACTGGCCGGCACCGTCCACTGGCCAGCACAGTCCACTGGCCAGCACAGTCCACTGGCCGGCACCGTCCACTGGCCAGCACCGTCCACTGGCCAGCACAGTTCACTGGCCGGCACCGTCCACTGGCCAGCACAGTCCACTGGCCAGCACCGTCCACTGGCCGGCACTGTCCACTGGCCGGCACCGTCCACTGGCCAGCACAGTCCACTGGCCAGCACAGTCCACTGGCCAGCACAGTCCACTGGCCAGCACCGTCCACTGGCCAGCACCGTCCACTGGCCGGCACAGTCCACTGGCCGGCACCGTCCACTGGCCAGCACCGTCCACTGGCCGGCACCGTCCACTGGCCAGCACAGTCCACTGGCCAGCACCGTCCACTGGCCAGCACCGTCCACTGGCCGGCACCGTCCACTGGCCGGCACCGTCCACTGGCCAGCACAGTCCACTGGCCAGCACAGTCCACTGGCCGGCACCGTCCACTGGCCAGCACCGTCCACTGGCCAGCACAGTCCACTGGCCGGCACCGTCCACTGGCCAGCACCGTCCACTGGCCAGCACCGTCCACTGGCCGGCACCGTCCACTGGCCAGCACAGTCCACTGGCCAGCACAGTCCACTGGCCAGCACCGTCCACTGGCCGGCACCGTCCACTGGCCAGCACAGTCCACTGGCCAGCACAGTCCACTGGCCAGGTCCACTGGCCAGCACAGTCCACTGGCCAGCACAGTCCACTGGCCAGCACAGTCCACTGGCCAGCACCGTCCACTGGCCAGCACAGTCCACTGGCCAGCACCGTCCACTGGCCAGCCACAGTCCACTGGCCAGCACAGCACACGTCCACTGGCCAGCACAGTCCACTGGCCAGCACAGTCCACTGGCCAGCACAGTCCACTGGCCAGGTCCACTGGCACACCGTCCACTGGCCAGCACAGTCCACTGGCCAGCACCGTCCACTGGCCAGCACAGTCCACTGGCCAGCACCATCCACTGGCCAGCACAGTCCACTGGCCAGCACAGTCCACTGGCCAGCACAGTCCACTGGCCAGCACAGTCCACTGGCCAGCACAGTCCACTGGCCAGCACCGTCCACTGGCCAGCACAGTCCACTGGCCAGCACCGTCCACTGGCCAGCACAGTCCACTGGCCAGCACCGTCCACTGGCCAGCACAGTCCACTGGCCAGCACCGTCCACTGGCCAGCACAGTCCACTGGCCAGCACCGTCCACTGGCCAGCACAGTCCACTGGCCAGCACCGTCCACTGGCCAGCACAGTCCACTGGCCAGCACCGTCCACTGGCCAGCACAGTCCACTGGCCAGCACCGTCCACTGGCCAGCACAGTCCACTGGCCAGCACCGTCCACTGGCCAGCACAGTCCACTGGCCAGCACCGTCCACTGGCCAGCACAGTCCACTGGCCGGCACCCTTCAAAACATGGCCACCGTTACCGTCTGCCGTCACTTGCTCTAGAAATAATTGTTTAAAATATTTATTGCTAATTTTTACACATTGAAATTACATTAACCTGAAGTATCTACGACAAAATCAATAGGAGCCATGAGGAGGATTCGAACCCGCAAACATGGAACACTCGAGCACACGCCCTAGACCACTACACCACGGACATGGTAAAAGAAAAGAAACCTGGGATTCTACTGAATCCTCTAAGGGTCCTGAGGCTTCCACTGAAGCCCAATCAAAAATTCAAACATTAGGTGGGCAATGCACGACACTTTTAACACTACCTTCATACACACGGTAAAGCTACAAGTTCATCTTACTCCATGATGTTATATATGAAATCAGGGAAAACTTGTCTTTTTACACTTAATTGAATCTAAGATGTGCCTTATTTTGACTCCCTTCTCTGAGTCCATTCACGCTGTCGGGGTCTTTGATCCCTTCTTGACACTCTGACCCGTCCTGGAACTGTCTGACCCGTCCTGGAACTGTCTGACCCATCCTGGAACTGTCTGACACGTCCTGGAACTGTCTGACCCATCCTGGAACTGTCTGACCCGTCCTGGAACTGTCTGACCCATCCTGGAACTGTCTGACACGTCCTGGAACTGTCTGACCCGTCCTGGAACTGTCTGACCCGTCCTGGAACTGTCTGACATATCCTGGAACTGTCTGACCCGTCCTGGAACTGTCTGACCCGTCCTGGAACTGTCTGACCCGTCCTGGAACTGTCTGACCCGTCCTGGAACTGTCTGACCCATCCTGGAACTGTCTGACCCATCCTGGAACTGTCTGACCCGTCCTGGAACTGTCTGACTCATCCTGGAACTGTCTGACCCATCCTGGAACTGTCTGACCCATCCTGGAACTGTCTGACCCATCCTGAACTGTCTGACCCATCCTGGAACTGTCTGACCCATCCTGGAACTGTCTGACCCATCCTGGAACTGTCTGACCCGTCCTGGAACTGTCTGACCCATCCTGGAACTGTCTGACCCGTCCTGGAACTGTCTGACCCATCCTGGAACTGTCTGACCCATCCTGGAACTGTCAGACCCATCCTGGAACTGTCTGACCCATCCTGGAACTGTCTGACCCGTCCTGGAACTGTCTGACCCATCCTAGAACTGTCTGCCCCGTCCTGGAACTGTCTGACCCATCCTGGAACTGTCTGACCCATCCTGGAACTGTCTGACCCATCCTGGAACTGTCTGACCCATCCTGGAACTGTCTGACCCGTCCTGGAACTGTCTGACCCATCCTGGAACTGTCTGACCCATCCTGGAACTGTCTGCCCCGTCCTGGAACTGTCTGACCCATCCTGGAACTGTCTGACCCATCCTGGAACTGTCTGACCCATCCTGGTACTGTCTGACTCATCCTGGAACTGTCTGACCCATCCTGGAACTGTCTGACCCATCCTGGAACTGTCTGACCCATCCTGGAACTGTCTGACCCGTCCTGGAACTGTCTGACCCATCCTGGAACTGTCTGACCCATCCTGGTACTGTCTGACTCATCCTGGAACTGTCTGACCCATCCTGGAACTGTCTGACCCATCCTGGAACTGTCTGACCCATCCTGGAACTGTCTGACACGTTCTGATTGTCTCCCGCGGTCCTCTTTAGTCACACACTCACCCTCTAGTCTTTAATGTGGCCAAGAGATCTCTTTATTTGAATGTACGCGAGGGCCACCATCTCCAGTGGCCTGGACGGGGACAGCAAGCCCTGAGGGCAACCATCTCCAGTGGCCTGGACGGGGACAGCAAGCCCTGAGGGCCACCATCTCCAGTGGCCTGGACGGTGACAGCAAGCCCTGAGGGCCACCATCTCCAGTGGCCTAGACGGTGACAGCAAGCCCTGAGGGCCACCATCTCCAGTGGCCTAGACGGTGACAGGAAGCCCTGAGGGCCACCATCTCTAGTGGCCTGGACGGGGACAGGAAGCCCTGAGGGCCACCATCTCCAGTGGCCTAGACGGTGACAGGAAGCCCTGAGGGCCACCATCTCTAGTAGCCTGGACGGGGACAGGAAGCCCTGAGGGCCACCATCTCTAGTGGCCTGGACGGGGACAGCAAGCCCTGAGGGCCACCATCTCTAGTGGCCTGGACGGGGACAGGAAGCCCTGAGGGCCACCATCTCTAGTGGCCTGGACGGTGACAGCAAGCCCTGAGGGCCACCATCTCCAGTGGCCCAGACGGGGGCAGCAAGCCCTGAGGGCCACCATCTCCAGTGGCCTGGACGGGGACAGGAAGCCCTGAGGGCCACCATCTCTAGTGGCCTGCACGGTGACAGCAAGCCCTGAGGGCCACAATCTCCAGTGGCCCAGACGGGGACAGCAAGCCCTGAGGGCCACCATCTCTAGTGGCCTGGACGGGGACAGCAAGCCCTGAGGGCCACCATCTCCAGTGGCCCAGACGGGGACAGCAAGCCCTGAGGGCCACCATCTCTAGTGGCCTGGACGGTGACAGGAAGCCCTGAGGGCCACCATCTCCAGTGGCCCAGACGGGGACAGCAAGCCCTGAGGGCCACCATCTCTAGTGGCCTGGACGGGGACAGCAAGCCCTGAGGGCCACCATCTCTAGTGGCCTGGACGGGGACAGGAAGCCCTGAGGGCCACCATCTCTAGTGGCCTGGACGGTGACAGCAAGCCCTGAGGGCCACCATCTCTAGTGGCCTCGACGGTGACAGCAAGCCCTGAGGGCCACCATCTCTAGTGGCCTGGACGGTGACAGCAAGCCCTGAGGGCCACCATCTCTAGTGGCCTGGACGGGGACAGCAAGCCCTGAGGGCCACCATCTCCAGTGGCCCAGACGGGGACAGCAAGCCCTGAGGGCCACCATCTCTAGTGGCCTAGACGGTGACAGCAAGCCCTGAGGGCCACCATCTCTAGTGGCCTGGACGTTTTTTTTTTTTTTTTTTTTTTTTTTTTTTATTATTATTTTCTACCACAGACGTGGCCACACATTTACAATGCTAACCAGCATATATACATTTTCTTCTGTCCTCCATGGACAGGGTTAGAGAAGTGTTAAACATATAGTTCAAGGGTTTATTGAACAATCAACCACAGAAGGTGATTCGGTGCTTTTAAAATGCTAAGCTAACCTACATACGTAAATACAAAGATACACAGATTTACGTACGCCCTACATAAAGTATTAGATGTGTCTTTTACATAGTGTCATTAATGTACATTCACAAAGGTGAAATTGTCGGAAAATCCGACACCATTTAATAATCATACAGATAATAGCTGTATTACCAACAAGTTACCCATAGAAAACGTAACTTGTAGTGGAATTACCATCTAAAGAAAACGGGATATCATCACCACATACTATTATAATTCACCAGCTATTCTGCTGGGAATTATTCTTAAATACATTAGTCTTTGGACTTTACCATCATAAAAACATCTTATATAAATTAACTTAATTATCAATATTAAAGTAGAGTAAATGTGACCCTTCTATCACTTTCTGAAATCTGGACAAAGTAGGCCAGGCGTCAGGGAGGAAGGAGGGAGCCATTGTTGTGTCACCTCCGAGACGTGTGGAGCAAATTCGGCTCCTATCATTCTGGACAATGTCGGCCAGTAACGTCAATAGTATGGAGTGTTAAACAGCCATTGTGTATACGAGACCAGAGGCACACGGGAGCAAATACGGCTCCTGTTAATTTTACTTGGACGTAGTGTTATGGAAACCAAAGGTACCATCTCCAACACGATGTCTACAATTCAAGTTAAGTGTCTATCCGAAACCCGTTTATCATTCATTTATGGCCATTAATGTCAGGATATAGGGTGACCCGGTTAGATCGCGAAATCGCCTCAAACTAAAGGTAATTAAGCCAGGTCTTCATGTTCCATGTACTGTATAGTGTTTTCTCTGATATACTTGTCATATATAGGATTCTGGCTTCACAGCTAGCGCACTTTTGACAGGTCAAGACGAGGAAGCAAGATTTGTGCACCAGTTACTGGGTGATATGGAAGCTACCTCAAAGAGGATAATTTGGTGTCTACACCCTAGTTATACCTGGTGGACTAACCTGCTGTACTATAAGATAAGGAACCTCTTCAATGTATGTAGTTACTGTAGTTTGATTGGCTGCATATATATTAATTTAATAACCCCCCTAATGTGTAGAGGATCGATTTGTGAGATTAAGAGATTATTGCAGAAATACAGTCCACTTAACATTATACAAATTGCTATCGAAGTATATAAATTAACGTAAATATAAATTCATATAAATTAAATAAATATAAATCTCACAGGTCGGTACCCACAGAAATGTAATTCTGATCAGCTTCCATATATGCTTTATACCCATACATATACATACACACACACACATACACATACATATATACACACATACATGCATTCACATACATTTGTCTCATTTACCCTGACAGGGTGAGGTAGCTGATAAAGAAACTAGTGTGCAATTAAGCACTTAATCACTGAAGGTGATGAAGGTGCTTTTACAAGCTCAGGTTATATAGTTACATCACATACATACATTGTATGACTGATACATTACATGGTTAATTTTGGATACAAGTCCAATATATCATCAAGTGTTCCAGTACTCATATAGTAACTACAGAGTTCAGCATACCTTAGCCCAGGAGGGCGAAAGTCAGTCAGTATGGGACATTCTACAATATAATGTTCAAGAGAGTGCATGTTTTCTCTTTCACAAAGTTGACACATTGTGTACTCGACATTTGGGTTTTGAGAAAGCTGCCAGATACGTCTATATCCCATGCGTATTCTGGCCACTATAACATCACATTGCCGGGTTCTTGTTCTATTAGTCCCATATGTGAATGTCTCCTCACGATATCTATCATAATATTTAATACTACAACTTTCAGGTCTTTGAGAATTTGTTAGGTCGGTGAAATCTTCATTAGATATTTGTTTAAGTATTCTCTTTGTCACTGCTAATGAAACACCCATATCAATTTCTACCACTGGTTTTCTGCAAGCTGACTTAGCAAGCATATCAACAGTGTCATGCCTTGAGATGCCAACATGTGATGGTATCCATAGGAATTTAATCTCAAATCTGTTTTCTTTGGCAGCTAAAACATTCATTCGAATATCACTGACTATTTTCTGGGTGTCACTACTATGTGCGTTCAATGCCAGGAGTGCACTCTGCGAGTCACAGTATATAAGTCCACTGCCTTTGTCTTTTAAAAATTCAGTGGCAAGGTATATGCCTGCAAGTTCGGTTTGAGTTGTACTTGCCCAGTCATTGACGCGCTTCATTGCTGTATGTACGAGAGAAGATTGTTCAAATATGTTACATGCACATCCGGTACATCGTCCACCTTCTTCTACAGAGCCGTCGGTATAGCACTGATAAACATCGTTACCCATACTCTGAGTACTTTCAGTGATGCTTTTCAGTGTTAACTGTTTTAACAATGTAGTGTGCACACTATCTTTCTTGGGCGCATTTACAAAATCAACTGATAGATCCCAGTTATCCCATGGAGTAATTGGCTGATTAATCATTAGTCGAGTTGGGTACATATTTAATATTTTGATGGAGTTGGCTACCTTGTAGAACCAATATACATAATCAGATTTCGTTCTTCTTCTATAGACCTCAGGTGAGTGTAGCATATTAGAAAGTTTAGCTTGAAACTTCATGTGTTGTCTAGATCTACTCAATGCCTTCACGCCGAAAACTGTGCTAATAGACAAGATTCTCTCACTTATGGTAGGTAATTTTAACTCTGCTCTCATGTTAACTATTCTCGTGGACTTTGGAGCCCCAAGGATGAGACGCATAGCTTCATTTTGCAAGGTTTCAAGAGATTTCAGCTCTTTGTCAGTATACAGTGTGAGATGTAGAGCATTGTAGTCAATCACAGAGCGTATAAATGATACATAAAACATTCTAGCAAGTCTCACGTTAAGCCCATGATTGACACCAACAAGGACCCGCAAGGGCTTTAATCTCTCCCAAAGTCTCCTCTTAAGAGAAGAAAGGTACCCAGGGTCGTTAATGGGGACACCAAGGTATCTGTAAGACTCGCAGTTCTCAAGTGCTTGCCCATCTATATGATAATTGGGTGGTGGAATACCACATGGAATGAGGGCACGAGTTTTCTGCACAGAGATAAGGAGGCCACATTCCTCAGCTCTAGTAGCAAAAGCGTCGAGCATCTGGCCCAGACGGGGACAGCAAGCCCTGAGGGCCACCATCTCTAGTGGCCTGGACGGTGACAGCAAGCCCTGAGGGCCACCATCTCCAGTGGCCCAGACGGGGACAGCAAGCCCTGAGGGCCACCATCTCTAGTGGCCTGGACGGTGACAGCAAGCCCTGAGGGCCACAATCTCCAGTGGCCCAGACGGGGACAGCAAGCCCTGAGGGCCACCATCTCTAGTGGCCTGGACGGTGACAGCAAGCCCTGAGGGCCACCATCTCCAGTGGCCCAGACGGGGACAGCAAGCCCTGAGGGCCACCATCTCTAGTGGCCTGGACGGTGACAGCAAGCCCTGAGGGCCACCATCTCCAGTGGCCCAGACGGGGACAGCAAGCCCTGAGGGCCACCATCTCTAGTGGCCTGGACGGTGACAGCAAGCCCTGAGGGCCACCATCTCTAGTGGCCTTGACGGTGACAGCAAGCCCTGAGGGCCACCATCTCTAGTAGCCTGGACGGTGACAGGATGCCGGCGGCTTGTGGAAGGCCCCCTTCCATTGACCGTGAGGGGTTTCTCCAGCTGGACCTGGTGACGGACGACCATGCTGGTGAAGAAGTGGGGTGGTGTGAGCTCGCTGCTTCACGGGGACGGGTGCTTGAGGCACGGTTCCCGGCTCACCAGCCATAAACCACGATACGATTTCTAGACGGGACAGAAATGGTTGGGCATGTTTCCTTTCACCTAATGACTCTGTTCACCTAGCAGTAAATAGATACCCGGGAGTTGGGCAACTGTTGTTGGGGGGTGACTCCTGGAGTCAGCAGTTCCACCGTGAGAACTGGATACAAGCCTAAAGCATATATATATAAACAGGCTACCTGTCCCCGACAATAAGGATGATTATGTATATATAAAATGTGTGGCGAGAGAATGAGGTGTGTTGAAATTGGCATTATGGTTATCTTGAGGTTATCTTGAGATGATTTCGGGGCTTTTTTTTAGTGTCCCCGCGGCCCGGTCCTCGACCAGACCTCCACCCCCAGGAAGCAGCCCGTGACAGCTGACTAACACCCAGGTACCTGTTATACTGCTAGGTAACAGGGGCATCAGGGTGAAAGAAACTCTGCCCATTGTTTCTCGCCGGCGCCCGGGATCGAACCCGGGACCACAGGATCACAAGTCCCGCGTGGTGTCCGCTCGGCCGACCGGCTCCCCACACAAAGCCACCAACACACGAGTACTGGTGATAAGGCTTCCGTGTGTGCTCTAGCCTATTGTGCCTGCTGGATCATGCCTCAGCTCTCGGACCCCGCCTTTCACCTGCTGTTCGCTTACTACAATGACTGCCAACCCTATACCTTCCCATCTTACCTAACCTATCTTGAGGTTATCTTGAGATGATTTCGGGGCTTAGCGTCCCCGCGGCCCGGTCCTCGACCAGGCCTTCTTTTTGTTACACATCACCCAGGAAGCAGCCCGTAGCAGCTAACTCCCAGGTACCTATTTACTGCTCGGTGAACAGGTGCATCAGGGTGAAAGAAACTCTACCCATTTGTTTCTGCCTCGGCCGGATATCGAATGCTTAAAATTTGTCACGTGGTGGAAGACTTGTATTAGAGCTGTGAGGCAAGACTTACCATGAACCCTTCCTGGTGAGGTCTCTTGTTCCACGTCTCGTACGCACTTGCTTGTTCACACCGAGGGTTGAGCTCCGGCTCTTTGGTCCCGCCTCTCAACTGGTGTACAGATTCCTGAGCCTATTGGGCTCTATCATATCTACACTATAAACTGTGTATGGAGTCAGCCTCCACCACATCACTTCCTAATGCATTCCATCTGTTAACTACTCTGACACTGAAAAAGTTCTTGTGTGTGTGTGTACTCACCTACTTGTGCCTGCAGCATCGAGCTCTAGCTCTTGGACCCCACTTTACTAGCCCTTGGTTGTCTGATAAAATGATTAATGTTGGCGTGCGCGGGCGTGCGCGATTATACATAATTTACAGGAGGGCTCCAGCTACTGGTACTAGTTTTCTAACTTGTCATATTTGGTATTAAATTTATGGAAGGAATTAGCTGTGTGTGTATATATGTTTGTTGGTCTGCTCCCCCCCCCCCTCTCTCTCTCTCTCTCTCTCTCTCTCTCTCTCTCTCTCTCTCTCTCCCTCACTCACTCTCTCTCTCTCTCTCTCTCTCTCCTCTCTCTCTCTCTCTCTCTCCCTCACTCACTCTCTCTCTCTGCGCCACCTTGCGATAACACATTTTAAAACATTTACATATACGTCAAGCTTATAATTATCTAATAATAGCCTTCCCAACTACGTACTTGTGTCAACCATGTTATGGTCGGCAGAACAATATACTTGCTGGGAAATTCCATTGGAGCCATGCTAGGATTCGCGCCCCCAACTTGGGTACTCCCCGAACCGGTGTTAGTAATGTGTAGAGGAGCCAGGGGCCGCCTGTGGCCGGGTCAGCTGATCTTTGTTTACGGTACTGGACGTGTTGCCATGGAAACACATTACGCGTTGTTTTGGTCTCCAGCGTCCACGTGCAAATTTTGGCGCGCACATCTATACTGTCTTCTACACATGATGCGTGAATGTATACTGTCTTATATCTCAAGCACGCACGCACACGCACGCACGTACACTGCTTTCTTCGCTCTCTGGTGGTCCTAGTCTGGTGGCATTGATCACTGTGCTCAGTGTTCCCTCGTGCAGTATTGATCACTGTGCTCAGTGTTCCCTCGTGCAGTATTGATCACTGTGCTCAGTGTTCCCTCGTGCAGTATTGATCACTGTGCTCAGTGTTCCCTCGTGCAGTATTGATCACTGTGTTCAGTGTTCCCTCGTGCAGTATTGATCACTGTGTTCAGTGTTCCCTCGTGCAGTATTGATCACTGTGCTCAGTGTTCCCTCGTGCAGTATTGATCACTGTGCTCAGTGTTCCCTCGTACAGTATTGATCACTGTGCTCAGTGTTCCCTCGTGCAGTATTGATCACTGTGCTCAGTGTTCCCTCGTGCAGTATTGATCACTGTGCTCAGTGTTCCCTCGTGCAGTATTGATCACTGTGCTCAGTGTTCCCTCGTGCAGTATTGATCACTGTGCTCAGTGTTCCCTCGTGCAGTATTGATCACTGTGCTCAGTGTTCCCTCGTGCAGTATTGATCACTGTGTTCAGTGTTCCCTCGTGCAGTATTGATCACTGTGCTCAGTGTTCCATCGTGCAGTATTGATCACTGTGCTCAGTGTTCCCTCGTGCAGTATTGATCACTGTGCTCAGTGTTCCCTCGTGCAGTATTGATCACTGTGCTCAGTAATCCCTCGTGCAGTATTGATCACTGTGCTCAGTGTTCCCTCGTGCAGTATTGATCACTGTGCTCAGTGTTCCCTCGTGCAGTATTGATCACTGTGCTCAGTGTTCCCTCGTGCAGTATTGATCACTGTGCTCAGTGTTCCCTCGTGCAGTATTGATCACTGTGTTCAGTGTTCCCTCGTGCAGTATTGATCACTGTGTTCAGTGTTCCCTCGTGCAGTATTGATCACTGTGCTCAGTGTTCCCTCGTGCAGTATTGATCACTGTGCTCAGTGTTCCCTCGTGCAGTATTGATCACTGTGCTCAGTGTTCCCTCGTGCAGTATTGATCACTGTGTTCAGTGTTCCCTCGTGCAGTATTGATCACTGTGCTCAGTGTTCCCTCGTGCAGTATTGATCACTGTGTTCAGTGTTCCCTCGTGCAGTATTGATCACTGTGCTCAGTGTTCCCTCGTGCAATATTGATCACTGTGCTCAGTGCTCCCTCGTGCAGTATTGATCACTGTGCTCAGTGTTCCCTCGTGCAGTATTGATCACTGTGCTCAGTGTTCCCTCGTGCAGTATTGATCACTGTGCTCAGTGCTCCATTGTGCAATATTGATCACTGTGCTCAGTGCTCCATTGTGCAGTATTGATCACTGTGCTAAATACTCACTTGATTACTCTTGCAAACTTCACTACGCTTTCGAATCATATTTTATTTATAAAGCTCCGATAATTATAGGGCAGTACATTAATCGATCCCCCCCCCCCCGCCTGCATGTGTGGGTGTGCAACCCTGCATTAACACAGTGGAAGGTACACGAAGGCACGCCCTCACAGGCACGCCCACACAGGCACGCCCACACAGGCACGCCCACACAGGCACGCCCACACAGGCACGCCCTCACAGGCACGCCCACACAGGCACGCCCACACAGGCACGCCCACACAGGCACGCCCACACAGGCACGCCCACACAGGCACGCCCACACAGGCACGCCCCCACACAGGCACGCCCCACACAGGCACGACCACACAGGCACGCCCTCACAGGCACGCCCTCACAGGCACGCCCACACAGGCACGCCCACACAGGCACGCCGACACAAGCACGCCCTCACAGGCACGCCCTCACAGGCACGCCCACACAGGCACGCCCACACAGGCACGCCGACACAAGCACGCCCTCACAGGCACGCCCACACAGGCACGCCCTCACAGGCACGCCCACACAGGCACGCCCACACAGGCACGCCGACACAAGCACGCCCTCACAGGCACGCCCTCACAGGCACGCCCACACAGGCACGCCCACACAGGCACGCCCACACAGGCACGCCGACACAAGCACGCCCTCACAGGCACGCCCTCACAGGCACGCCCACACAGGCACGCCCACACAGGCACGCCCACACAGGCACGCCGACACAAGCACGCCCTCACAGGCACGCCCTCACAGGCACGCCCACACAGGCACGCCCACACAGGCACGCCGACACAAGCACGCCCTCACAGGCACGCCGACACAAGCACGCCCTCACAGGCACGCCCACACAGGCACGCCCTCACAGGCACGCCCACACAGGCACGCCCACACAGGCACGCCCACACAGGCACGCCCACACAGGCACGCCGACACAAGCACGCCCTCACAGGCACGCCCTCACAGGCACGCCCACACAGGCACGTCTACACAAGCACGCCCTCAAACAATTCCTCGTCTCCCCTTAGTTCTCTTTTAAATATATATATATACACTGACACATCTATATTATAAGAGAATGTCTGTCGCCCCACAGTAGGAGGCCAGACACTAGGGGGTTAGCCTTACCCATATTTGCAAGGAGAATGGTCTAGTGTGTGGGCGGGACATAGGCTGGTCGGGGTAGACCTAAGTTAAATTATTTAAAAAAACTCCTGGTAAATATTGACATGGCCATTCTCAGGGAAGCAGTTGTCAAGTATATACCATTGTTGGCAGACCGCCAGAGGTCTCCTGCCAGCATGTAATCGTTAACAAACAATTGTCTCAACACAACCATACACTTGTGTCGTCCTGTCTTCATAGTTATGAGGTGGGGAAGGGGAAAGAGGGATAAGAGACCCCGTATTTCACACCTTCGCCTCACACTGTTCCCCCACCCCCACTTCACACCGCCCCCACCTCACACCGCCCCCGCCCACCTGACACCGCCCCCGCCCCCACCACACACCGCCCCCGCCCCCAACACACACCGCCCCCGCCCCCACCACACACCGCCCCCGCCCTCACCTGACAACCGCCCCCGCCCCCACCACACATCGCCCCCGCCCCCACCACACACCGCCCCCGCCCCCACCACACACCGCCCCCGCCCTCACCTGACACCGCCCCCGCCCCCACCACACACCGCCCCCGCCCCCACCACACACCGCCCCCGCCCCCACCACACACCGCCCCCGCCCTCCCTGACACCGCCCCCGCCCCCGCCCCCACCACACATCGCCCCCGCCCCCACCACACACCGCCCCCGCCCCCACCACACACCGCCCCCGCCCTCCCCTGACACCGCCCCCGCCCCCGCCCCCACCACACACCGCCCCCGCCCTCCCCTGACACCGCCCCCGCCCCCACCACACATCACCCCCGCCCCCACCACACACCGCCCCCGCCCCCACCACACACCGCCCCCACCACACACCGCCCCCGCCCCCACCACACACCGCCCCCGCCCCACCACACACCGCCCCCACCACACACCGCCCCCACCACACACCGCCCCCGCCCCCACCACACATCGCCCCGCCCCCACCACACACCGCCCCCGCCCCCACCACACACCGCCCCCGCCCCCACCACACACCGCCCCCGCCCACCTAACAATAGGAGGTAGTGGGTGCCAGGAAGAGTGGCTCCCTGGTGGTGCCACCTGTGCTCCCAGTACTCCTGTCTTCCAATCGACTCGCTGCCCACTGCTCGGTCACGGGGTACGTCCTCTCCCCCCTCAAACCCCCTTCACCCTCCCCAGTATCTCTGAACTCCGTTACTATTTACGTCCAGACCATTAGGGGGTCCGGACGGTCACCCCCCCCCCCAATGTTGTTAGGGGGTGGGGGGGGGGGAGGAAGTATAGAAGATGGATTATTTTTTTAGTGTCAGAGTAGTTAATAAATGGAATGCATTAGGAAGTGGATGTGGTGGAGGCTGACTCAAGTGTAGATATGATATAGGCTCAGGAACCTGTACACTTGTTGATTGACAGTTGAGAGGCGGGACCAGAGAGCCGAAGCTGAACCCCACTCCCTCAGCAAACACAACTAGGTGAGTACACACACACCCAGAATTCCACATCAAAACGGTATCATCAGCGGCATATGCTAGATTGGCCAACATAAGAACTGTCTTTAGAAACTTGTGTAAGGAATCGTTCAGGACCCTGTATACCACTTATGTAAGACCAATCCTGGAGTATGCAGCTCCAGCCTGGAGTTCATACCTAGTTAAACACAAGACAAAGTTAGAGAAGATTCAGAGGTATGCCACCAGATTAGTCCCAGAACTGAGAGGTATGAACTATAAGGAAAGGCTACGGAAGCTAAACCTCGTGTTCGGAAGACAGAATAGTAAGGGGAAATATGATCACCACATACAAAATTTTCAAGAGGAATTGACAGGGTGAAGACCTATTTAACATGGGTGGAACACAAACAAGGGGACACAGGTGGAAACTTAGTACCCAAATGAGCTACAGACATTAAAAATAATTGTTTTAGTGTCAGAGTAGTTAACAAACGGAATGCATTAGGCAGCGATGTGGTGGAGGCTGACTCCATATACAGTTTCAAATATCAGCCCGTCCTAATAAACAAAGCCAAATGCTCGTTAAAGAAGCCGCCCAAACCCTTGTTTATGACTGGCAAGTTGTTACACACAACTCACAACTGATCACTTCCCAACACTTCCCGAACAAGTGCTTTCCTCACGTCCTCTCTCCGCACCACAATTATGTAAATGCTTCAACCACGTACTTCAAATACAAATAATCGACAACAGAACATAAACACCTAACCTAACCTACGGCTAACTATACATAGAATTGTAATATATATTAAATTATGTCTGAGTGTATTAAAAATTGGTTTATTCTATGTTAAAATTGATTGATGTGTCTAGGGATGACGGCCGCTGCTTTAACCAGCCTAGTGTGGGAATGGGTTGCAAATGTAAGTATATTAGAACCCAATATGCTCAAGAATCACGGGCACCCCCACCCCCTCTGCCCCGGAAACCATCACCCCCCTCCCCTCTGCCACGGGCCCCCCCCCCCCCTCCACTACCCGGCACCAATCACCGGCACACTTACCATAATGAGTTATACTGGCGCCCTTCAGAAGGGGGCAACAGGCGACAATGGTGCTCACTGATGATACTCACTATTATCACCAATATGTAAGGGAAGGGCACTCTCAGGGAAAAGGGCCAAGCCAGTACGACACTACAGCACCTGGAAGGGGGTCGGGATAAGGCTGTGGGGGCGGGGACGGGGGAAGGAATAGTGCCCAACCACTTCCACCGTCGGGGATTGACAACGTAGAAGAAAATAAAAATTATTATTAAATACATTTTAATTCTTGCATTCTTCACCTTTTAGCCTATCTTCCTTCGCTTGTAGAGTTATAGAGGCCACAATTATAGACTGAAATATGTTTTAACATTATTTTGACAATGAGCTGAAGGTGGCTATACCCCCCCCCCCCCCGCTGTCTTTATACAACTCATTATAGCCACATTAATATTCCTGATCGAGCGTTCATATTCACACCACCTCATCATCACACTCTTGCTTCACTCTACACACTCACCTTCCTCGTGCTCACCTTGGAGTGTGAGAGAGAGAGTGAGGACCACCACGAGAGGCGCCTCAGCACCTCCACACATCAGTCTCCCGCCTACAATTTCTAGCAATATGGAGTTTTGTATTTTACAGTATTTTTATTATTCATTTTTTTACGTATTATTTGATAGAAAAAATATGTCATTGAATTAATGTGATATATTTTAATAATATTGTATATATTGTATATGTCTTCAAGTTTACATGTTTACATATTTTTTTCTATTACATAAATATGCATTTCTTAAAAATTCAAGATCAAATTTTAGTTATTATACTTTTTTGTTTTACTATATTTTTCACTTTTATGTTGTTATTAATACAACTAATTCATAAAAAACAGTGAACTTCAAAGATCAGCTTCCTTGACGGCTGAGTTGACTTCAGGGTAGCCTCTGCCCCCTCCCCCCCCCCCCTTACTTGGGTGAGCCAGACTTGGTTGAAAGTTTTCTAATAATCTTCGAGCACTGTGTGTTACAGTACTGTGTGTTACAGCACTGTATGTTACAACACTATGTTACAGCACTGTATCTCATAGTGCTCTCTTTTCCCACGCGGTATTAGCAATATGTTCATGGCTATAGCTATATGGGCCCGTCTGGGGTTTCTACACGGTTTCTGAAGCCATGTCCGGTGACCGAACAAAAGTATAACAATTATTATATTTTTGTTCACCCTCCACGTTCTTCATGTCTGTGTAGCATTTTTCAGTAATTTTGCCTGGTATCTCGAGAAGGGAAATTGGTCTGGAATTTTCTGTTTGAGTCGGATGTTTAGGAATTAATCTGACAAGAGACATTTGTGCGCCCCTGAGGGACTTGAAGTGGAGGGGGGATAGAAATAGCCTAAGCTACTCTATCCCTTTGAGATGTATTATTTTCTTGTCTCAATAAACATACTTGTAATTGAACTTGACATTTTTTATGAACGTTGGGAATAGTCTTGATGCAAGAGCTGGCTTTAATATTCGTCTATATTGATGGACTGCATTCACTATAGAGGGTTTGTCGGTACTAAATTGTTTATTTTGCAAATCGCCGGAGCCTTGTTCTTAAACAGCATAATTCCTTCTTGGACCTCTGCCAAGGTTATGTGGTTCATGCAGCGACACTCATTGTGAGTGTTAAGGTGTGTGGTTTGAGTCAGAAGCAGTGTTGTTAAGGTGTGTGGTTTGAGTCAGAAGCAGTGTTGTTAAGGTGTGTGGTTTGAGTCAGAAGCAGTGTTGTTAAGGTGTGTGGTTTGAGTCAGAAGCAGTGTTGTTAAGGTGTGTGGTTTGAGTCAGAAGCAGTGTTGTTAAGGTGTGTGGTTTGAGTCAGAAGCAGTGTTGTTAAGGTGTGTGGTTTGAGTCAGAAGCAGTGTTGTTAAGGTGTGTGGTTCGAGTCAGAAGCAGTGTTGTTAAGGTGTGTGGTTTGAGTCAGAAGCAGTGTTGTTAAGGTGTGTGGTTCGAGTCAGAAGCAGTGTTGTTAAGGTGTGTGGTTTGCGCCAGAAGCATGTAACACCCATAACCCCCCCCCCCAGAGGTCACACCCAGGGAAGCCTTCTCCAAGAGGTCAGCCCAAATACTCTTGTCAAACATTGCAATGGAATGCAATGTTTGCATTCCATTGCTTATCTAGCACTATTTACAGAACAGAATATTCAGAGAGTTCTGAAATGTCACTTGGTATGAGAGCAGACAGATACAAGATGGCCGACATCAAAGCCATCCGATTTGGGAAGGATTTTATCAATAAACCGTATAGTAACAGCAAGAAAGCAAAATTTTCTATCGTCCTCAAAATCTAGATATTTTGCCAGCAGATGTGTGATTGCAAGCAGAATAATGCAGTAAAGTACAGGTTTCTGTTCCACCAAGCACACATGTGTGAATCTTGAATGGCCAATACATAACTAAGCCAGAGACATTTCCTGCTTTCTACTTTGGTAATAGGAGGGTACAGGAATGTCATATTTGATGGGACAGTACAGTACCATCAAATGTAACCTCCATCACTTCGTAGTTATATATCTCTCAAACAGCTGTGCTGAGCATTGGTTGGTTATGAATGCTCATAAATGCATCCTTTGCACACATTGAGGATTTGGCAAAATTTTACAGATAATATTTTTGTATACAGTATAAAATAGTATGTTTCAATGCAGAATACTGTATACTAAATTTCATAATGTTAAACAATACAAAATCCTATTTTTAATAAATTTTACTATAAAATACAGTGTTGGTATACATCAATTTAATATTCATAGGATTTTAAGTCATTAGTAATGGCGATGTCTTCTAACAGACATAATAACAGGATAAAAACCCACACTTATGTATTTGTGAATTTTATGTAATTATTTTTTTTGGGTAAAGGCATTAGTCGTTTAAACACAAGTCTCAACGTCCAGTGCAAGTTGTTGCAGATGCAAGCTGCAAGTCCTAACCACATACTCAGACCTTAACAAAGTACTCAGAATAGTGCAAAAGACTTGGTGTAAATCTTTACATAAAATTCCCAAATACACAAGTGTGGTTTTTTTTATCCTATTTCAGGTCAGTTTATCAATTATAACAAAATGTGCCAATTTAAACCAAGAAATTCTTTTTAGATCAAGGCGACCTCTAAAAAATTTTTTTTTTTTAGATTTTTTCCTTGCATCAGCCATCGTGTTTTATTACATTTGTATAATAGTCATAGTTACGATGTACTAACTGGTGATGTATCTTGCAGAAGAGAGGCTAAGCTGGATGCAGCTGCCAAGGAGCCTACACCCATAGCCGAAGTGGACACATTGGATGCCTGACTGCTACTAACAAGGGTACCAAGTGTTCCCACAGCTGACACTGCAGAACCAAGAGCAGACGCAGGTGTTGGTCCACTTCCTGTGAGATTCACACTGCTGCCAGTGATTGTTCCTGCAGCACTGCTACTGCTGGTGGTGCTAGTGCTGGTGGTGCTACTGGTGGTGCTGGTGCTGGCACTGCTAATGGCCATTGGGGTGCTGCTACTCCCTGTGCTGCTACTGCTGCTAGTATTATTCCCTGCATTATTCTGGAAAGTACAACAGGTTTCTTTATATACATTCAAAAGTATTTATAAGCATACATTTTATTAATGCATAATACATCATACTATAAAAAAGACACAAGAACAAGTGAAATTGTCAATTTTACTTCAATGGAGTCTAAATTGAGATGCGTGATGAAACGTAGGCGCCGCTGCAGTGCTGGACGCAAGCCACGAATTATTCCTTCGACATCAGTCTTTATGGAGTCACCAGTAAACATGTATTTTATATGGTAGAGGACGTCACAAATCGGATCCATGTACTTCAGATCAGTAACACTTCGATCCACCTGAGGAGGACAGTTATAATTGTGTACAGTAGAGGAGCAATAAAAATACCTTTATATATAACATATAACAGGGCAAGTCACAGTTGCAGATAATTAGACAATAACATGACTGACAAGTAGACACCCAACCCACACAAATGCAATAATGAGGAAAGTGACAACTTGATGTGTGGGGGGTTGGGTGCCTAAATCACCATTATTTGATGTGAAATCTTAGTGATGCAATCCTATGTAAGCTTCTTTGGGCAAGAGTGTTACAGTACTTAAATTTCCTTCTGAAGGAAGAGAAAGAACAAGAAGCAAACTATTTCATATTTTATCACTAATTACATTCCCACATTAAGACCAACCTTAGCTAGAGCTTCATAGAGCTCAATAGTCACATCAAAGACCATACGAGCCAGCTCACAGTTAAAGCGCTGTAAGAATGGACCCACCAGGTGGCACAGCACTACCAGTTGTTCTTCTGTTGCTAACATTGGACGAACCCGCTCTCGCATGAATCTGTCGTGGGACATTAGTTAGTAGTTATTTAAAAAAAATAAAATTACTGCATTTTATTTTATGAGCTGCCTCACGTTTCTAATTCGGCTCCTTACAAAATTAATGTCCAATTCAAGGATTTCAATTTAATTTCCATGTATACACGATTAATATGAAGGGGGGGACTACAGTAAGGCAATGTCTACGATGGCAACTGGCCACTGCACATTTTTTGCCAGACATTAACCATGTCACCATAGATCCCAAGGTTGACTTGTGGAAGGTAACCCCAAGCCCCCAAGGGCAGTACTTACAGGGCACCTAGGGAAGGAAACCCTAGGGGCATGCAGCCCGAATACTGGAGAAATTACTCCTGGCTTGCACACCACAGTAGAGACAGCACCACACCTCAAGGCACAGAACTGACATTTCTGGAGCCAGAGGCACAAGCCCTTGCCAGTCGAGGGCTTGTGACTCCAGCCAGGACAGGAGTCTCTTGAGGCTGTCCAATATAAAAGTGACCTAGACTCCTACATATCCCCTTAAGCCATTAATAGACATTTCTTACGTGCACTCCTTCACGTTCTCTGTCTTTGGTAAGTATAAGATCTTGCAGTATTCCTCTCAACCTGCTTGATACCTGGTTGATGGGGTTCTGGGAGATCTATTCCCCAAGCCTGGCCCGAGGCCAGGCTTGACTTGTGAGAGCTTGGTCCACCAGGCTGTTGCTTAGAGCGGCCCGCAGGCCCACATACCCACAACAGGCCAGTTCGTCCGGCACTCCTTGGAGAAAATGATCTAGTTCTCTCTTGAAGATGTCCACGGTTGTTCCAGCAATATTTCTTATACTCGCTGGGAGGATGTTGAACAACTGTGGACCTCTGATGTTTATACAGTGTTCTCTGATTACATCAACCAATTCTACAGCTTCAAATCTTTATCCCTTTTCTAGATATTTCGCTATTTCCAATTCTTTTCCACCTCCTTAAAACTAGCGTATTTTTTACATACTTGCTTCAATGGTCTAATTTATTAATTGATCTGCCTTATTCCATATTCCCTATTTCAGTCCCCTCATGTCAGCATTTGAAGCATCTATCATTCAAATACAGGTATTCCTTTCTCCTGTTCTTCCAAATTAATCTTTATATTTATAATACAGTACACACAAAACAGTATTATAATAATACTGTTTTAATGTTTTACTTATAAAAAAAATACAGGGGGTTTTAATTACAGTGATTACTTAGTAGGGAACAACATTTGTGTTTCATACAGCTGAGAATTTTGGCCGTATCTTAATACGATAACAGTAAAAAGACCACATTTTGTTTTAACTGACAACTTGCAACCTATAGAACATATCATATCTAATGGTCATAAAAGGTCCTTACTATTTATGGCATGAAGAAAGCAAGTCATGGTGTCGTACCAATATCCAAAACTAAGTAACGGGTACCTGTTATCCTACAAAACTGATGAAGCTGGCAAAGAAACAAACTTACTGGGGAATGCGTCCAACTTGTCCAAAGGATGCATGATGCCAGAAGGAATGAGCTAGAGCAACAGTAAGTGCAGCACTCATATCACTACGAGACGACTGCACCCGTTCCAAATTAAGCAAGGTGAAGGGGTCCATGGAGCCAGTTCCAGGGCTTGCAAGGATTGGTTTCTGCAAATATACAATCAATTAAAAATTTGTTTAAATAACATTTCAAATAACTGAAAAGAGCACACAAAGTGGTGACAACACAGAAACATCAAATTTAAAGTAAATTTTGATAACATTTTGCCTCTAACAAATTTTCTCAAAACAGATTTCAGACGAAACACTAACTACAAATAATGTTTATTCTCAACTTCATAGTTCTATACACATTTTAAATGCCAAGAATTTCGAAATCAAGATACTTTTTCCTTTATGTAGCCTTATAGATTCTGTGGAAACAATCTCTTATTTATATAACAATGATTCTATTGCAAATGTTCCTTATTTAGTTGTGCAATTTTTTTAGAAGCTTCTCATTTAATCAAATTAATTTAATTGCAAAGGTTTCTCTTTATTTATCTATATATATTTTTATTTCAGAAGGTAGCTAACTGTATTTTGTGATAGTACAGATTACTGCCACACGAGGTAAATAATCATCAGGAGGCAGCACCATGCCTGGAAGACTAATTTAACACCATCCTGTGGTGTACAACAGTCAACATCCCCGGATATCATTCATGTTTTAATACGCGAGTAGAACACAAGATGACAAGTCACAGATACCTGATACACCAGGTATAAAAAGATCACTAAGGTGAATAAAAATTTAATGACAATGGTAGAAAACTAGGAATGTGACAATTCAGGTGTATTGGATAAATCTTATGAGAGAAATCAGATGGGAAATGGACTAAAATAATATATGCTAAGGTTAACAAAACCATTCAGCCAGCTACCGTATTTACCGGCGTAAAAGATGAACCCTCGCATGAGACGCACCCCTATTTTTACAAGGATATTTTGTGGAAAAAACTATTTTAGTATGTTTCATCATACATTTACTTAGATATTTTAAAGTGGTTTTTGTATACTAACCTCCTCCAAGATCAGCTGTATAGTTGTTTATATTTTGGGAAAAAGAATTGCTATAAAATGTGAAACTTGTATTTCTGGATGTGATGTTTCGTGTTACCGCGACAGGCCACCAAGGTCGGTGGTGGCACACCATCACAGCACTATGGTTGTGTTGTCATTCATTCATTGCAAATGGCTGACAGGCAGATGAAAGTTTAACATTCCTTTCAAATTTCTAGGAGCATTTTTCATTTAGATAATGAATGTTTCTTAAAGGTAACACAGTCGTTAAATAATGTATGACGAATATCAGGTGTGAGTTATGTATGCTGGATAAGGCTGGGTAAGGTGGCGAAATGATTTGAGCTTCCTTCATAACTGCCGATGTGTCGTAAGCAACTTTTTGTATGTTTATGATAATAGACTGTGATAACTCGGCTCGTTTCCAATATTTTATTATTACCCATGATTCTTGTACCTAGTGAACTTACCCAGTATGCTCGTCAGGCTCCCTAACCTACGGTGCTCTGTCTCACATATGTAATATGGCCGCATTAGACGCATGGCAATTTTTTGATACATTGAAAAATATAAAAAAAAGGCGCGTCTTGTACACCGAGAAATACGGTACCTCTTGCACTTGTCAACTGTCTGATACACATAATTAATCCTCATTATCAGCAGGAGGAAGCCTGTACTGTACTTAAGACTTATCTAGGTCCTACCTAGGCCAACTACTGACCTTTCCCCATGATGAGACCCACAACAATTGCCATACTCCAAGGTACCTATTTGCTTGGTGAACTGAGGCATCACATGAAAGGAAATGTACCCAACTGTGTCTGTCCTGCCTGGGGATCAAACTCAGGACCCTTGGTTGTGAGCCAAAGATGTAGACCACTGTGCTACAGGAGTAACACTTTCTATGTACTATTTTGCACTATCAATGCTGAACACAAACAAACAAGTTTAATAAACAAACGATTCAATACAAAATAAACACAAATTAACGTGACTTTCTGCTTAAGTAGAAGATGGACTCGGATACAAAAATTCTGTTCATTAGCTATTTTAGTATAAAAGTATCAGGGTTGTATCACATGTAGAGAAACTACGCTGAATTGCCTGAGACAACTTGCCTGGAGGAGTTCTATTATACGGTCATGAATAACAAGCCAGTAAGGCTCGGGAAGCCACGTGAGGAGGAGACCAACAGCATTCACCCACTCCTCTACCTCACCTGAAGGAATGTCACAGTACCTGTAAAACCACAAGGTGAGCTAATAAATCATACAAGTTTGGGGTTGATATGAAAAGTACTTTCCTTAATAATTACACTCACTGGAGAGAATCTTCCAGCTTAATCCTTTAAGTGTGCATATCTTAATAACCAAACAACCCATAATGCACATATCATCTTAAGATGTTTTAAGTACTGTACTGTACTTTGCAACACTGAAAACTTCCATGAGTATGGTGTTCCCAATACATTGTTTTGTTGTTTGTTTTCTTTAGGGCCTAGGCTTACATTTGGAAGCAACCATGTGTATAATTCACAAGATAGATTTTGAGTAACTTTCTGAACCGACTACTTGCTTGTACCCGATTCCTTCCCCTAAATACAAACGATGCCAGCATAACTATGGAGCAACTAAAACAGCTCATCTATCTGCATCATAAATTATAGTTAGGCTACATCTTATCATGTGGCAAGACCAAATGAGAAAAGCACTTTATACTACATATTGATGTTATTCCCAGCAATTAACAAAAATATATACTGTACTGTATATGTTTTCTTCATCATATGTTACTATATTCATGTTTGAATATATAAATGAATGGATAAAAGTTACAAGACTGCACAGAACTTAAAACTTCAATGGTCAACTTACCCTTTGAGCAGGACATCCAGCAACTTGTTAGCAATAACAGTTGGGCTGTTAGGCAGGGCCATTAACTCCACACAACTCACATGAAGGGCATGAGCACCGCTGTTGGCAAACTCATTAAATCGCCACTCTACTGATGGAAAGATTGGCTTACTTTGCATGGCTGATACTTTAATTAAGGAAAACAAATTAATGTAGAATGTAATTATCATCATGAATTGGTACAATTTTTATCAAACTAGTTTCGTTACCTAAAAAGAAAAATTAGATATACACAGCATTAAAGTAAAATAATAAGACAATTTCATGTTTCATAATGAATACAGATAAGAGAATTAGAGATATCTTAAATATCTAAAGCAACCAGTATCCTATACTTTGTACTATACCCCACACCTCAATATGCAGAAAGAATCACATGGTGAAAAAAAAGAAGGCTTTGAGTACAGAAAATGACTTCCTGTGCAGATCATTCTATTGTTTCCTAAGGCAAGATCTGCAAGACTGCTTAGAGCAGGCATGTCAAACTGAGGGTCCCTCAAGGCCCATATGGGTCACATTTATGTTATGACAACCAAACACGACAACTAATTGAAGTCATTTAATAAAAATTATTACAGAATATTTCTTCTATTATATTATATACCAAATCACAGTATCCTTTGTGCAGGCTGCAGGTGTGCTTGCAAAAGGCCGCATGTTTGGCTTAGAAAGATCCCTAGGCCACTACTGCATGTCATTTTAACTGATTGTGCTTAATCCTGTCCCAAGGATACCACTGATCTTACCTTAGAAAACACCCAAATGGATCAGCTCAGAAATCTGCAATTCCTAGCCATCAAATTTAATGCTAGTTGAACAGAGGCAACAGGTGAAAGAACACCATTTCTGTCCTGTCCGGAAGTAAGTAAGTATCAAAAGAAGGCACCAAACCGGGAAGGCTATGTAGCACCACCAAATGTGTGGAATAATCAGAGGGCGCTGAATATCACCAAGGATGCCAATACGAGAACAGAAACGCATAAGGCGAACGATATCAATCCTGTCCGGAAACTGAACCCGGGTCCCTCAATCACGAGCCAAGGAAGTAGACCACTGTATTATAGAACTCATGATTTTCCTGCGTACATCAATACGTTGAAACTATCCAGTTTACTATTTGTATAATCTACAAAAATTATTATTTTAACTCAAAGCCTCTGCTATATGCAATGTTTGCCTCCTGGGTGCACCACATGAAATAAAATTATGATAAAATTTCACAAACTGACAGTAAATAAAAGGATACTGTTAACCAGACGCTTGACAAGTGCTGTGTAATAGGACAGTCCTGGTTTCCATGTAATATCATCAGGAGGCCGTGTCAAATACTGACAATAAGCCTCAGTTAAGGCCCAGCCTGGTGGACGAATTTCCTGCTGTGACATTATTACGGCAACTACCAGACGTCGTTTCAGGTTCGGACGCTCGCGTAACTTGTTTTCATAATAGTGGAATGTATTGTATAAATAAGTGATTGGTCGATCTGAAATGCAAGAGTAACTATGAATAACAAATTTACAAATCCAACCTTGTCTCCAAATATGTGATTTACCAATCTGATACCGTATGAAAAAGCTTGCCTAAAGAGAACCATAAATCAACAAATCCAGCTGTGTGTATCTCACATACACAACTCTTACTTTCACCATTTCACACAATAGGGGTAGCCTAGAGCCACTGCTGACATAATAAAAAGCACCTGTCTGAAGGGTTGCCATGCATATTATATTATATTATATTTACTTATTTAATATATATATTATATATACACACACACACACAATGTTCACACGGAATAGTAACAGAACGAGGGGACATGGATGGAAGCTTGAAACTCAGATGAGTCACAGAGATGTTAGGAAGTTTTCTTTTAGCGTGAGAGTAGTGGGAAAATGGAATGCACTTCAGGAACAGGTTGTGGAAGCAAATACTATTCATAATTTTAAAACCAGGTATGATAGGGAAATGGGACAGGAGTCATTGCTGTAAACAACCGATGCTCGAAAGGCGGGATCCAAGAGTCAATGCTCGATCCTGCAGACACAACTAGGTGAGTACACACACACATACACATACACATACACACACACACACCCAGAACTGAAGGGCAAGAGCTACGAGGAGAGGTTACAGGCATTAAATATGCCAAAACTAGAAGACAGAAGAAAAAGAGGTGATATGATCACTACATACAAAATAGTGACAGGAATTGATAAAATTGCTAGGGAAGATTTCCTGAGACCTGGAACTTTAAGAACAAGAGGTCATAGATATAAACTAGCTAAACACAGATGCCGAAGAAATATAAGAAAATTCACTTTCGCAAACAGAGTGGTAGACGGTTGGAACAAGTTAGGGGAGAAGGTGGTGGAGGCCAAAACCGTCAGTAGTTTCAAAGCGTTATATGACAAAGAATGCTGGGAAGACGGGACACCACGAGCATAGCTCTCATCCTGTAACTACACTTAGGTAATTACACACACACACACATACATTCCATGAATACCAAACTTTTAATTCTGAAGACAGTACAAAATATTATTGCTTATAATTAATAGTAATAATAATAACTAATAATAGCATGTACAGTAATACTGTAGTTACCAGTAGTACCTAGTAGCAGCAGCTGCTAGTAGTATTAATAATATCTTGTATTAATGGTAGTTAATTGTAATATTAGCAACATCTTGTACAGGTAGTAGTAATGGTATAGGTAATAATAGCTAGAAGTAATAGCCAGTAGTAGTAGTTGCAGAATTTCTTTATGTGTAGGATATATGTCATAAGTTGTATATAGAATATTTCCTTATTTTATCTAAGCATTTAACATTGTTGACAGTGAAAACTCTTGGGAAGTGGGGAAGGCTTTGTCCTAGGTACCAAGAACAGTCACATAAATCTGTCAATGGGTTAAGTGATTGCTCTAGGTACCCAGGATGAAAAGTCTCCATGGACATGAAGAGTTTTCAATATCAACAATGTCCATAATGTCCCTTATTTTGAATAGAGACAGCTCACAATAGCTTGCATATTATCAAGTTGTGTGTGGACTATTATATACTTATGGATATATTTATACCCATTATTAAGGACATACAAGTATAAATATAACCATATGTATAGATATATTTATATCCATATGTATGGATATATTTATACTCATATCTATATATACTTATATTTTAAAGTTATACATAATGAACACCACCTTTGACACATCAAGGCAACCTGTTAGCATGAAAAAAATAAATTACTTAAGTAAAGCACGATGAAAATATGTCGACAAAGTTATTCCCGTGCGGCACCTCGCCTCATTTCTACCCAAGTAAGTGCAACATCTCCAGCTCACTATAGCTAAGCCACAGGAGCTACAGACTTTTTACTTGGATATTTGTTCTTCCTGATACTAATTAACAATGTCCAAAGGAAAAAAATTGTCTCTGCATTTATATTTATTTTTTTTTGCTCACTATAGGGATGTCAGCATTTAACAGCTGTGTAGTGATTAAAACAAGAAATACAATGATATTGATAATCAAACAGAAGAAAAATGGTTTTAAACAACATATCTACACATTATACCCTAACCTACCATGAAACTTGTAAAGCATGCCAAGTCTTTCTAGGATGGTTTCCAAATTCTTGTGCACTTGATGGAGTTCCAAGAAACGGTGAATGATGATGTCCAGCACCTGAGAGAAGTAAAATAAAAAAAAACAGAGAATATAGTAATAAAAACATTCAAGTATGCAACATGGCCCAGTCACACAAACATTACCAAAATCTGATAACCCAACCCCACACATATGAAAGGAAGTAAAGTGAATGTTCAGTCCACCCTGGAACTTTATCATGACTTATAAGAGCTCCATAATGGACTGAAACATTGAGACTCATTTGTTTTTGTTTGTGTGGGGTTAGGTTACATCACAAGCCAGCATATACCAGTTATGACTGGATACGCTGTGGTCATTATTTAACACTTTTGTCCAGCGACGACGCAGTTTGCATCCATTAATAATCTTACAGATGTCCGGTGGGGATGCATTTTGCATCAGAAATTAACATATTTGTTAAAAATTCCATTTATTGGTCGATTATTATGGACTATTTTTAAATGAGCACCTTTAGATTGCAAGCATCTTGATACCATAAAGAACAACGTAGCACCACAATTGAGGTTAGAACACTGGAAAGATTATAAATACTAGTGTGGTGATGAGTGTCCAAAATTAAAATATTTGTTAAAATTCCATATATTGTTTGAATATTATAGGACTAGTTTTAAAATGTGTGCCTTTATATTGCAACAATTTGATACTAAAATGAAAGATGTAACACGAAAATTGATGTTATCAAGCTATCAAACTAGGGGTGGGGGGGTGCATGCGTTTGGACCTTATATGCACATAATACCTATATGAAATTCTATTGCGAACAAATCGATAACAAAATGAATACTCAAATTTTATAATTATTTTTTATTTTCTTATTTTTCAAGTTATGTTTGTGATCATTTAGACGAAGTTGCAGGATTTGCCAATAGATTATGCACAAAAAATTGGAAAGCATTTGGCCAAGTTTGAGAAACTGAACTTATGGTACCATCGGGTCCTGTCATATATGTATGCCATGCGCAGCTTAAGGGTTAAGAGTGGGAAGGTAAGCAGAGTGGCAGGTTGAAAATAACACCAGAGCTGAAGCTAAAGCTTAACCCATGTAGCTTCACAGCCACATCAGAAGGAAAACAGTTAAGAACAGGTTATGGCACTGAGAAAGACAATGAACTATGAGGAACTCTAAAGGAGATTCCAGGTCTTTGTAATAGAGCAAGGGGAAAGTTTCTGAAGTGAGGGGAATGGGACGAAACCAAACAGCACTGGATGACTTTGAGATAACCAGGGATGAATTAGGAATATCAGAACTAGGACATAAATTAAGAGTTACTCACTGGTAAAAACCTGAGGCAGACATTTGAGAAGTAAATGGGCAGAGTCTGGTACTGTGCAGTAAGCGTTCCTTGCTCTGCTAATATACTCTCGGGAGAGAACTTTTCAGGATACTTGCGGTGAAAAGCCATGTGCTTCTCATACCTATGGAAGTGCAGGAGCAAATTATACAAACATTACAGCTTAATGAATTCAGCAAAACTGCATACATAAATCCTTATTTTATTTGTCACTTCCACAGGGTGGCAAGGTATCAGCCCCAGAAAATAACGGTACAATAAGTGCAGTAAAAAACCAGCGTTGAATGTAATGAAATGCCATTTTCTAGGCGAGACCCAGTGGCACCGTGGAGCTAACTGGGCTGATAGGAATGTATTAGACCCTGGCATCAGTCAATGCGCATGGAGTTCTAGGCCTACCACAAGCCAGAATCTGGCCCCCCTCAGAGAGGCATGAGGAGCAATGGCCAGTAGAAACCCTTGTGTGGTTGGAAGCATTCTATGTCTGCCATCGACCGGGTCAGGCACCCAGAAAGTAAGCGCCTCAAAACAACCTTTATTCAGGTTAAAATATTGCTACTGAAAGCCGAACTGTTGGACAGAACTTCCCAAATAAAAATGAGCAAACAAGCATGAAATCACCATGTCGCCGCGCCGCTGTCTGTGCAACCCCCACCCCCTTCCCAGGAGGGAAAGCCCCAGACCCCTGCACCGGCTATCCACCCTGCAGTCCTGAAGCTGGATGTCAAAACCGCAAAAAAAACGCCGACCAGAGAGAGAGAGGGCGGAGGGATGCCGGGGGGCTTCTGGGTCTCGCCCAGAAAATGGTGCTTCATTACATTCAACGCTGGTTTTCTGGGGGGAGCCCCTTCGACTCCCCGGAGATATTTACCCAAAGACAAAATAAGAGGGATTTATCTGAGAGGCGGTCAGCCCTCGCTCCTCAACACGATGTCGAGACAACTGGCTGGTGACCGTGTTCCCGGCCACCGAGGCCGTGGCGTGCAGGTAACGGGGAAGAGCCACAACATTAAGGTCGGTCAACATTATGGCGACCTTAGAAAAAATTTTAGTGAGTATAATTGGACAGACTTGTTGCTAGGCAAGGAAGTGAATGAGATGTATGTCAAGTTTTGTGAAATATATGATAAAGGCACAAAAAAAATTATACCAAAACAGAGATGCAGAACTAGGAAACAGGATTGGTTTAACAGAAACTGCGAGAGGGCCAGAGACCAAAAGACACAAAAATGGAATCAATACAGGAAAAGGCCAAACCTCCAAACATACCAGTGATACAAAGATGCGAGAAACAACTACACGGCAGTGAGGAGAGAGGCAGAAAGAAATTTTGAAAAAGGGATTGCAGACAAATGTAAAACAGAACCTGGTCGATTTTATAAATTCATAAACAACAAATTGCAGGTAAAGGATAATATTCAGAGGTTGAAAATGGGAAATAGATTCACAGAAAATGAAAAGGAAATGTGTGAAACATTAAACGAAAAGTTCCAAAGTGTGTTTGTACAAAATGAGATCTTCAGGGAACCAGACACAATAAGAATTCCAGAGAACAACATAGAACACATAGAGGTGTCTAGAGATGAAGTGGAAAAAATGCTCAAGGAGCTAAGTAAGAACAAAGCAGTTGGTCCAGATGGAGTTTCACCATGGGTTCTGAGAGGATGTGCACCTGAGCTCAGCATTCCACTTCAACTGATTTTTCAGGCATCCCTGTTTACAGGAGTTATAGCTGATGTGTGGAAAAAGGCTAACATAGTTCCATTCTACAAAAGTGGAAGCAGGGAAGACCCCCTTAATTATAGACCTGTATCATTGACAAGTGTAATAGTCAAAATATTGGAAAAAATAATTAAAACTAAATGGGTACAATACCTGGAGAAAAATGATGTAATATCAGACAGACAGTATGGTTTTCGATCTGGAAGATCCTGTGTAACAAACTTACTCAGTTTTTATGATCGAGCCACAGAGATTTTACAGGAAAGAGATGGTTGGGTTGACTGCATCTATCTGGACCTAAAAAAGGCTTTCGACAGAGTTCCCCACAAGAGGTTGTTCTGGAAACGAACATATTGGAGGGGTGACAGGTAAGCTTCTAACATGGATGAAAAATTTCTTAACTGACAGAAAAATGAGGGCCGTAATCAGAGGCAAGGTACTGTAACCCCGCGATTATCCGGGATTCAAACATCCGGAAAACGCCCTTATACGGCCAAAATCGTGATCGGATAAAGTTATCACAATATCCGGCCAAAATGGCCACAGGAACCCGATAAAAGCTGGTTTGGCCGGATGAAAATTCGGCCATACTGTATTAATCCCGTTTGTGGCTCTAGACGCATGGTGGAGGAGGAGGTGGGGTGGGTGGGTGGTGTCGGGAGGGTGGGAGGGGAGCGTCGGGAGAGACCACCTGGGTACAGGAATTACCATTAATTTTAGAACAATTAATCATAGCCAAAAACAAATGAAATAAGTACTAGTAATTATGTAATAACAAATAAATAAGTTTCCTAAAAGGAATGTGCACAGGCTGAAGTTTCCTTAAAAAATATTGAGAGTTTTTTTCCCTCCTGGCGGCCTACATAACGTGCTATAGCTGCCCCACCCCAAGTGGACCCGTCCAACACTGGTCAACCCATGTGCGTCCGTCCCTCGTGTTATACACAGTGCTGCTACATTAGTGAAATATTTTTTTAAATAACTTTTATTTTCATTGTAACTTTGAACATTTTTGGCCAAGACTATGTCTGGTAGCAGCATCAATCGTTCTGGAGGTGTTGAGAGGAAGAAAGTTGTCCTAACAATTAAAGACAAGTTACTGTTATACACTTCAACCAACTAGTGCGGCGTCACAGTGCTGCGCCATTAGTGAAATATTTTTTAAATAACTTTTTTTATTTGCATAGTAACTTTAAACATTTTTGGCCAAGACTATGTCTGGTAGCAGCATCAATCGTTCTGGAGGTGTTGAGAGGAAGAAGGTTGTCCTAACAATTAAAGACAAGTTACGTGTTGTTCAACCAGTGAGGTGTCACAGGCAGCCAAATGCCTTCAACAAGTGAAACGCCACAGGCAAGCCAAGCGCCTTCAACAAGTGAGGCGCAAGCAAGCTCCTTCAACAAGTGAGGCGCCACAGGCAAGCCAAGCGCCTTCAGCAAGTGAGGCGCCACAGGCAAGCCAAGCGCCTTCAACAAGTGAGGCACCACAGGCAAGCCAAGCGCCTTCAACAAGTGAGGCGCCACAGGCAAGCCAAGCGCCTTCAACAAGTGAGGCGCAAGCAAGTGCCTTCAACAAGTGAGACATCACAGGCAAGCCATGCCTTCACAGGAAGTCATGCCTTCAACAAATGAGGCTTCACAGGCAAGCCAAGCGCCTTTAACAAGTGAGGCGTCACAGGCAAGCCAAGCACCTTCAACAAGTGAGGGCATGCAAGTGCTTCAACAAGTGAGGCCTCACAGGCAACCCAAATGCCTTTAACCAGTGAGGCTTCAGCAGCTGGCAGTCAAAACTAACTTTGCTTAATGAGCTGTACAGTAATTTTAAGTGTTAATTTTAATGTTGTGTTAGTATAGGTTACGTAAATTGTTAAGAATTCTTAACTTCAAGATGTGTGGCATCAATCAAGAAGATGAACACCAACAAGGTAAGTTGAGGTTTCTAGTTGAATATTTAATAATTATATGTGGCAAGGCAATTCAAATTATGTTGTTTGTAGTATAAAAATAGTTGGAAATGGTCACTTTTGGACTCGTAAGTGAAAAAGTACCATTATCCGAAAAATGTGATAATCCGGCTGGGGGTCCTTCCCATATGGTCCGGTTGATCGAGTGGAGACAGTATTGGATTGGAGGAATGTCACGAGTGGAGTACCACAGGGTTCAGTTCTTGCACCGGTAATGTTTATTGTCTACATACTGGCTCCAACCCTATTCGGGATTGTCTTCGCAGTTATGCTGCGGCACACCTTCGGATCTGTCACGGAAGGCATTTATCTCCGGACCAGGTCGGATGGAAAGCTCTTTAACCTCGCCAGGCTGAGTGCCAAGACAAAGGTTCGGCTGAGGTGTCTACGCGACTTCCTTTTTGCCGACGACGCAGTAGTCACTGCCCACTCAGCCGAAGATCTCCAACTGCTCATGACCCGCTTCAGCGAGGCCTCTCAGGCTTTCGGACTCACCATCAGCCTGAAGAAAACACAAGTCATAGGACAAGAAGTGGACTCCCCACCTGATATCGGCATCTCCGATTCCAAACTGGAAGTCATTCAAGACTTCGTGTACCTGGGCTCCACAATCTCTGACTCCCTCTTTCTTGATACTGAGCTAAACAAACGCATCGGTAAGGCATCTACTACCATGTCCAGACTGACAGTGTGTGTGGGCCAACAATAGGCTAACTGAGTATACTAAGATTCAGGTTTACAGAGCCTGTGTCCTGAGCACTCTTCTTTATGGCAGTGAGTCTTGGACACTCCGCGCCCGTCAGGAAAGACAGCTGAATGCTTACCACATGCGCTGCCTTCGACACATCTTGGACATCACCTGGCAGGACAAGGTGACAAACAACAATGTCTTGAGGAGAGCAAGAATCACCAGCATGTACACAATGCTGAAACAGAGACGAATGCGCTGGCTCGGGCACGTTGTGCGAATGGACGACGGCAGGATCCCCAAGGATCTCCTGTATGGAGAGCTGATGCAGGGAAAGCGTCCAACAGGCAAGCCCCAGCTACGGTACAAAGACGTATGCAAGAGGGACCCGAAAGCCATGGACGTTGATCTTGCTATATGGGATACTGGCTGCAGACCGTTTAGCCTGGAGGCAGTCTGTTCAAAGAGGTCTCTCCAAGTTCGACGAGTCACTTGCCAAGGAATTGGAGGCAAAGAGACAGAGAAGGAAAGCCGGTAGCCAGGAAGACAGACCAGAATCGGACTTCGTTTGTGCTCGGTGTGGGAAGGACTGCCACTCTCGGATTGGCCTCATCAGTCACACCAGACGCTGCACCAGGATTGACAACTAGGGCGCAACTCCATAGTCTCCCGAGACTGAAGGATGCCTACTACACTTCAGGAGAATGGGTTGACTTTGAATGTCACCAGGACCATCAGCAGCACATGCTCATATTGCTGAGGCAGATAGAATCTTCAGCGAAAATACAAGTGCTCCACTACACTTGCAGGTGGTGGAGGCCAAAACCGTCAGTAATTTCAAAGCATTATATGACAAAGAGTGCTGGGGAGACGGGACACCACGAACGTAGCTCTCATCCTGTAACTACACTCAGGTAATTACTACTCTGAGCAATTGCAAGCAGTTACAGGACCACAAGACGGAGAAGTGTCTACTGAGTGCCTGAGAACACCAAGTAATTACCAGGCAAAATGACTGACACATCAGGTCAGGCGAGGGGATCGAGTAGTTGGGTGTGTTGATAACTGGTTGCTTCACAACAAAATGGTTCAGTTTGGTCCTTCTTTTCTACTACATTTCCCTTGCAAATTGTCTGTAATGACTAGCTCGCCTGTCTGGTGGCTTTAAATGGTTAACGTGATCTCGAATCCTCAACTTCCTGCACCACTATAAAGGGGCAGGTTTTGGCCTCCGGTTCCTGATAGGCTTACAACAGCATGGGTTGAATTAGGTGGAGCCCTCCCAAATAAGACAAAATTCAGTTAATAAATCTTAAACTCAATAAAACATTACCAGTTGTTCTGTTTCCAATGGTCAGGGGAGTTTTCCTTGACAAACTCTTGAACACGGTTCCTCAATTCAGCCGGTTTGAGAAGCAACAGCTGGATGATGAAGAAGCAAACATGCGCCTCGCTACCTTCCTGAGTTCGCAGTGCCTGGAGCAAGACAAGTACAGTAAGATGAGGATGAAATTATCAGGAGAAAGCACTAAGCCATTACACCTATGTAGCCTTGAAAGGAATGATAATAAGGATTTAGGATAGGATGAAGGAAAGGAACAGTGCTTAACACTTGGACGGTTGGGGAATGACCACTAATCTGCAAGAAGCGAGACCGTTGCTCTACCGTCCAGTTCATGTGATACAGAAAATAAGTCAATTAACATGCAAAGATCTTTTACTGCTAGAATTCATTCAATAAAACACTCTCCCTATACACATAAGGTGCATAACTAGCCGACTTCTCACAGTGTTAAAAAGAGAACTTGATAAACACCTTCAAAGAAATATTTGAGCAACTAGGCTCCAACTCATTTGTCAGCTGCAAATTGCTGAGTAAAACATCATAGTTGACCAGACCACCAACCAGGATGCCTGGAGACTGTGCTGCAGGGACACTGATCCTTGGAATCATCAAAACACTTTTTCCAAAAGGTAATGTGGCTGAAACAAAAACCTACACACATGAAATAAAAGATAATGTTGTGGTCTGTCCTGGACCCTTATCATAACTTGGTAAGGGTTCAGGACAGACTGATATGTCACCACTCATTTCACTTTCTATGTGTGGGGTTGGGTTATTAAATGATTTTAAGGAACAAAGAATTAATTAATAAAATGTATAGCTCCACAGCAACATCACTGGTGTCATAAAAAGGAAAAGTTCATCTAACATTTATGCTGCCCAGGACACTCACCATCAAGTATGAACTTGAGTGTTCTGGGGCCATAAAGAGATCATCCATTAAAAATGGAATATTATTGGTCTATCTCCTGTTCTTTAGCTTAAGAGAAAAAAAAGTGCTTCGCCTCACAATCAACTGCCCTCTGGGTAAGCGAAATACAAAATGCCCCATCACATGAAGGTGGTCAGAATGGGGGGGGGTTTAAAAGAATGAAAACAAATTTATTATGAAGTCTTCAGTATAATAGACTGAAAACATTAATACTGTAGTTATTAAACTAAACAAAACTAATGCATTAAACACATTATGCAGAGGAAATTTTGTTCTGCAACTTAAAAATACCACATTGTGCAATATCAAATGCTTACTGAGCAGTTGCTCTGATGCTTCTTTTAGCAAGAGTCTGGATTAAATCATAATGTCTACTAAAAATCTTTCAACATTTTCCCATTTCCAATGCACCTATTCATGTAATTTTTGAGCATCATTACCAAAGGTATCTTACTCACCAAACAGAGCATAAGACGATCAATGGGCACTATGTTGTAGACCCAGATGATGGCATTCATTGTTTCAACATACTTGGTGACGTGTTGCCCGCCAGCACTGTTTGAAAACTCCAGAACCAGGAAGTCACAAAGTGTTCGAACATGTGCGGCCAGTTGCCGGGGCCCAACGCGTTCCAATACCCTGGATAAACAAATACAATTCTGAAAAGTCTATAACTGGAGACAGCATCCAATATAAAACAACCATTTCTGTCCAACTGAACAGCACAATTTTTACCATTGTAAATACAAATATTCACAAATACCTTAACCACAATATCTACTGCATATTCTGAATGGTCTTCTGCATATTAAATATACCTTAATGTACTGCATTTCATCTAGAATATAAACAGTGTATTAAGGTAACAAGTTCTCAACATATGACAGGTATTACAGAGCCTAAATTAGAAAGTGTTGCAGTAAGCTCTGTATAAAAAAAAAAACTTTCTGGGAATGAGATGGTAAGTTATTAAATCAGGATGCAAAGCATTACAGAATCAACAGAGATTTGTTTCAACTATTACATTGCTAGGCTCCGTCCTCTCATGTGTTAAGTTAATACATTTGTGGCAATATAGTTCTCAACTTGACATATATACAGTGGTACCTTTGTTCACGATCGTAATCCGTTCCCAGAGATATGTCGTCATCCAAAAATTTGTCAACCACAACGAATTTTCCCATAAGAAATAATGTAAATTGAATTAATCTGTTCCACACCCCCAAAAATAACTTTAAAATACATTTTACACAGAATACTACTCATATTTTTCATACATAAAACAATCAGGTATAAATATAAACCATAAATAAAATAAGTGAACATTTAACTGCACTGAGGACTCTTGTTGGCGTATGGGAGACGGGGAGGAGGGAGGGAGGAGCAATGTTGGTGTATAGGGAGAGTGGAGGAGGAGGAGGGAAGAGATGGCGAGATCTTCCCCTGCTCGCGCATTCATATCTACATCACTGGTTCCAATTTTCCTTTAAAACATTTCACTGCCTCTGTTTCAGTCACAAGTCAGTCATGCATTTCAAGCATTCACAGTTGTGGTAGCAACCGGTTAGGCATTTACAGTCATTTATGCATTTATGCATTTACAATCATTCAGCCATTTACAGTCAATCAGCCATTTACAGTCAATCAGGCTTTCACAGTCAGTAAACAACAAGAGTTTAATATCAGGCAGCAGTCTGAGGCAGTCTGCCTCTGATCCACCAGTTGGTAGGAAGGAAGCGTTCTGTATTAATAAGATCCAGGTGTCGACGTAAGCATTAGCAACACTCCTCTTGTACCTGTCTGGGCAGTAACTATTGGCATTGAGGCACATTCCTATGTTTGTTTCCTTAGTGTAGACTGCAGTGTGGAAGCCTCCGTTCCTTTCTGTGACTGTTACATCTAGAAAGGGCAGCTTCCCATCATTCTCCATCTCATAAGTGAAACTCAACACAGAATTCCGCTCAAATGCCTCCTTCAGCTGCTGCAGACGTCTGGCATCAGGTACCTACATAAAAATGTCAACATACCTGCAGTATATGGCGAGTTTCAAGTTCACTTCAACAAAGACCCTATGCTAGACGGTACCCACATAGAAGTTTGCAAACAGGACACCTAGAGGGGGGAACCCATGGCGACCCCATCTACTTGCTTATACATCTGGGCTAAAGAAAGGTGCCTCTTTAGTGCAGGCTTGGAGTAGTTTCCTTAGTATGTTTTCTGGTATGTCAAGAGGAGTACAAGCCGGATAACGATACACTCTGTCCACTATCATCCCAATTGTTTCATCCACAGGCAAGTTGGTAAACAGTGACTCTACATCCAACGAGGCTCTTATTCCTATTTTGGCTCTTATGCATCAGATACAAAAAATAATTATAAAGCATTGAAAATACACAGAAAAAAATAAATGTTAATAGATTTTTTATATGTACATGTTCAGGGAAGGGAATTTATCATTTTATGAAAAACCAAAATTTTGCACACTTGATTTTTGGCACACAGAAAATTTCATAATAAATGTGACGCATCACAGAGGTTAATACAAATTACAAAATCAAGTAATTTGAACATTAGCAGTGGTTTGTATAATTTAGATACATTTTTGATTGATCAATGATTTGAGTAGGATCATTGATACACAATTATCTTAATAATGCCTTATTAATTTCCCATTATCTCATTAAAGACATTGTACCTCACCTCTTTCCTGCCTATTCCCACACCTACAAAACTGAAATCCCACGGGAGACATCTCCCGTCACGCAGAGTGCAGTCACACCTCCACAGATCTCCAGTATCATCTATTGATACTGGAAATGGCTCAAAAGGGCCACATTTATGGGCTATTCATGCCCAAGCCACCTTTTGGGTGGCTTAATCTTCTCTCTCTCTCTCTCTCACTGAAATCCATCCTTCTAAGATGTTTTATTAAATACAAAAGTACCTCCTGTCTTAATCCTTCCTTCGTGGTCTCACACTGTCATACGTGTGTATATATATATAATAAATATTTGACAACTTACTTGTAAGCAATATGAGGTACTCTGTCAGTATCCAACACCATCTTGAAGAGAAGACACAGAAACAATGGAGAAGTGTTGTGTTGAAGGGAGAAATGGGCAATAATGTCATTTTCATTGCTCATAGACTTCCATTTCCTGTATTCCTCCTCAACTGCTTTCTGTAAATTAAATAAATTGTACAATTAATTCCCCTCATAAGTAAAATTCTGCACCAAAACTGAACTAGACTTTTATTTCTTGACACTACTTTCATTACTAGAAAATAAAAAATTACACTGATTAATTTATTAGCAGTGTTAGCAAATTTTGTGAATGATGATGATGTTTTCCTATTTATGTGTACTTATGTGTTAGTGCAATGTTAAATCTAACAAAATTTATTTTTCCCTTTCTGATTCAATATTTGTATTTAACGTTTAATATCCCTTCCAGTCTCTTTTTTTTTCCCCCCATCTTCAATATTTTGTGCTCACTGAATTTGAGCTGTAGCACCCACTTGTTGTCCTACTCCTACAGCATCTGTAGGTCCTCCTATAGCTCACACTTAAGCTCACTGACAGTTTTGCATCATCTGCAACACTCATGTGCAGAAACTGCCCAGTTCAGGTACAACTCATTAACGTACATCAACAACAGTACAGGTCCTAGGACCGTGCCTGGAGAAACCTGGTTTATTCTTTCCTTCACTCTGACATTTCCTACCAGGTTAAAATCCACTGTTTCCAGTCTAGTTAAGTACTCCAATATTCATTGCAACATCCTTCCAGTTATTCCAGCTTACCTCTCCATATTAGTGAGGATCAAAGGCATCTTTGGCATTTTAGTCCTTTCTCCTCCTCTTTTTATTTTAGAAGACTATCAGGTTTGTTAGACCAAATTTAAAACCTTCCTGTCCATCTGTTGAAAGTTTGTTCCACCTGTATGCTACACTATTTGCTTTCTAATTTGTTTGCCAATACTTTGCAGGAAATCCATATTGGAGAAACTAGTCAGTATTATAGGGATTCCTTTCTCTTCCCTTACTTGAATGTCACCACAATGTTTGCCACTTTCAAAACATCCTGGAATTATTCAGTCTTTAATATTGTATAGTATATAATAATGCAGTACATATTTCCTGAGAAACATTTAGCAGTCATGGCAATATCAGCTATGGCCTTCCTGCCTTTATTACATCAAGTTTCATCAGAGGTCTTTCTTCTTCCTTCTCAATGACTCCAATGTTGTGTTTATCCATTTGTCATCACACACCCTTGGTCTACTCACTGGTTCTGTCTAAAAGACCTCTTTGAATCTCTTGTTAAATTCCTCACACACCACAACCTTATTCTCCATGAGAACATTTCTGTCTTTTCTTAGCGTAATTACACGGTATATTACCGTAATTTTCTCATATCTGTGATGGCAAGCTCATATTCACAATTATTCATATATAAAACTTATTACAAATATAATAAGTAAAATCATAAACATATATTTACACATTTCCAAAATGAAAGACCTAGGATGAGAATTGAGGTGACCAAAGTGAAAAGAGTGTACACATTTTATCGCTCTTGCGCGCTCCCAGGGTAACACGCTCTCACTTTTTCTGTTTGTTGCGGATGGTACGCCGGGCTTTTGGACTTTATATGCCTTTAGTTCTGTAGAGAATTCTATTGCGAACACAATGATACCAAATTGAAAACCATGGACGAGAATTGAGGTAACAAAGTTGAAAATAGTATACACTTTTCAGAATGACCACGCACTCCCGCACCGCTCAACCCCACCTGGGATAGTGCAGCGCTCGCAGGCCGAGAGCGCGGAAGTGTTAAAAATAAAAAATGACCAAATTTGGATTACAATTTTGGCAGTAAAAGCCTTCATAAATAAGTAGGAAAATCTACTTGTTATACTATTAATGCGGTCATGCGTAAATGAAACATTTGCAAAGAGTTTAAAGATTATTCAATTATATGACAAATTCATCAACCCATCCTCCTGTTTTGATAGTATTTTTTGTAACTATGTGGACCATCGAACATACATAGACGTAAACAGTTAGTAGAAATGGGCATTGTTCACTTGATAGAGACCGAAAAAAATAAAGCTAAAAACCAAACAAAAATTATTAGACCTAGTATAGTATAGATATGTACTGTATTAGGCCTCCAATGGTGTGTATTAGGCCTTGGAAGGTTAAGTTTTCTTTGCAAAATCAGTACAAAAGCTTTTCCAGTTTGTCCAAATTCGATAGTGCTGTACAATTTCTACTTTCTAATTGCCTTTATGTCAATATATGTACGATGGTCCTCACCATTACTATAAGTACTACCTAAACAGAACGGCTGAAATGCATCATTTAATCAATGCAGTGAAACCCTCAACACACACCTTCAAGGTGTGCATGTTTTCCCGCGGCGCTGCACACTGGTGGTAGAAGTCTGCTATCACTGAAGGGAAACACTGCAGTGTATGATTGGCCCAGGTGTGAGGAGTTTGTGTCATGACTGTCTTCAGGAAGTCAACACACCAACGAGCCGAATCCCCCGAACTATCACAACCTGCAAAGTCAGGATTTGGAAGATTAATAATCATATCTTACATTAAATAACATTTACAACTGTTAATCAAACAGGTTACCCAAGTACAGTAACACAACTTATTTTATACATTACCATAATTTTAATCTGTTCCTTTAAGGTTATGTAATTAAAGAATAGAATGCAATTTTTTATTTTCTTTACTCGTATTTTTTCTTAACCCTCAATGTGCAGTTCTTGAAATATGGCCATACCCGCCTCTGTGCAATAACAGAAAATAAAATGTTTCTTCACAGAATTATTAATTTCTATGCATATGTAAGGAAAACTGAAACACATATAAATATATAACTTGTTACTAGTTGGAGGAAGTATGAAAGGTCGGTTGAAGCATTCACCTAGCAGTAAATAGGTACCTGGGAGCTAGACAGCTGCTACGGGCTGCTTCCTGGGGGTGTGACAAAAAGGAGGCCTGGTCGAGGACTGGGCTGCGGGGACGCTAAGCCCAGAAATCATCTCAAGATAACCTCAAGAAGAGATAACCCTAACAGAATCAGACGGGGTCACCATGACCCAGATAAGATGTATGAATACGCGAGGTGCCAGATTCAAGCCAAAATGCAACGAAAGCAGTAAACCTGATGCCCCACCACGAAACCTAACCAGTCCTTGAACCCCAGATGAATAGGAACGTGCTAATACGTGTCCTTGAGATCCAGGAACACCATCCAGGCACCCGGCTCCAACAGAAGCTGGACCTGAGACAGTAGTCATCTGAAAGGAGAGGAAGGAATTCGAGGGTTTAGATGGGACAAATCCAGAATGAACCACAGATCTGCAGTCCCATTTCTGCACTGTAAACAGGCAGGAAACCCACCTAAGGGACGGGGTCATTTCGACCACGCCCAAGCGCACCCACTCCAAGATGACCCAACGAAGTGCAGGGGAAGAAGCCTGTCCCCCCAGCCCCAGACCCCCCAAAGAAGGAGGAGGAGCTGTCCAACACCACAACAGGCAGGACGACATGACCGAAAACACCCACAGATCGGGGACCAAGTGCGAGCAAACCAAGCGAGCCACCCCCCATCCCCATTGTCCCGTCAATGGGGCAAACCGCAAAAGGGCCAACACCCCCTTACGAGAATCCGACCGCAAAAAGGCCGACGCCCCTTACGAGAAGCCGACCGCCAAACAGAGCGATCACCACGCCGACCAGACGACGCCGGCTCCAAGGGCAACGTTGGCCCAGAAGCTGGCACCAATGGCCCACCTCGACCAGCGGAATCCTTAACCCCGGCACGACCCTTCCAATAAGGCCAAGAATGGCCGCACCAGAGAACCAACAAGTCCGACATAGGACGACAACTAGACAAAGCCGCCTGCAAAAACTGCGTGACTGCAGCCTTTGCAAACAGCAGCAGGCAAAACAAAGATGTAACCCTAAGAGCCAGGGGGGGCCAAGTGGGTTCCAAAGAGAGGGCAAGCACAGTCTGATGGCATGCAAGGCGAGAAGCAAAGAACGGAGACACCGCCTGCTTCAGGATAAGCGCAAAATGCTTAAACAGTGCAGCCGACGCCCTAGCTGCCAAGGACAGCACCCCAGCTGAAGGCCCGGCACTCAACGCCTCCTCATCCTCCTCAAGCCAGGCAGAAGACAGCACTGGAAGGGAAATGAAGCGCAAGATCGAAGCCAAATGCCCACGGGCGCGCAATTCCTCCGCAGCCAAGGATGCCAAAAGGGAAGGAACCTACACCTGCAGCTGCACAAAGTCAACATCCTGAGAAAGCACAGGGGTGAATAAGCATGCATTAAGCCACTCAAACTCTCCCCCCCCCCCAGATAAACCTGCAGAACAGTAGACGTTTCTCGCCACTCAAGCATGTGGGACAGACAGACAACCCATGCCATGCTCCCAACGAAAAAAAAGGGCAGTCTGCCAGCCAAGAGGACTCCAGAATCTCCAAACGCACCCAATACTGGAAAGAAGAATCGAACTCAAAAGAGGTCGGATCTGTAACAGAGGCAGAACCCGGGAATTGCAGGAGGTATGCAGCAAGAGCCTCATGAACCTCCCATGTGGAGATACGAGAAGCAGAAAACCTCTGGAAACATGGGGCTGAGGTACCTAAAGGGGCCCAGAACCGAACCCAGGGAGGAGCCGAACTCAAATCATAATCATACAGGGAAGGGGGGTAAGAAAACCCCTCCCCCTGCAACAACAAGCCCCGCGAAAAGGGCAATAGCACTCAAGCGGGGTAAAAGGGGGCTCAAGGCCCCCAGGTCGACTCCTCCCCAGCCCCCCGGGATCCACCAAGTCGGGGCCCCGGGCAGAGCAGTCCTCCGTACCCTCTACCCCCCCCCCCTGAAGAAAAGGCAGAATCCAGGGGAAAAGGCTGTCAAGAAGGGGGCCTGCTGGTGGGACCCAGAAGCCTTGGCAGGAGAAACCAGCTTGAATGCCTCTGTCCCCAACCCAAACGGGTATAACACCCACCAGGTCCTGGTCCCTATAACCAAAGTGGGGCAGCCATGGGGCATCTGGGTGGGAAACCAACCTAGCGTGTCGCAGCAACCTGAACCTAGCATGCAAAGCGGATGCTGCCTGTACCGATGAGTAACTCCTGGCCACACACACAACAATAACACAGCAGAGGTCACCACGAAGGCAAAACACCGCCAAGGAATTCGAGATCAGAGAAGCGTCCACCCCGGCCAATCTTAGCTCATGAACTGAAAGTTCGAGTAGCTGGCGCGGGGATATGGGGCTCCCCTCCTCTCCCCCTCGGGAAGGGGAGTGCTGAGCGGTCAAGCGGTACGGTGGTGGTGGAGTGTGATGTTTGCTTGTTTCCTTTGGATTGAAGGGAGTTCTGCCTCTTTGTTCGGTTTTTGTTGATAGTTTATTACCATGTGGGGTTTGTTTTGTTATACCTACCTTTCTGGGTGCCTAACCCCCGGTCGATGGCAGATAAGGAAAACCCGCAACCACAGGGTGGGGGGGTTTCCAGGGCCATTGCTCCCAGAAACTTCTCCGAAGGGGCTAGGTTCTGGCTCGTGGTCCCTGGTAGGTCGAACTCCATAGCTACTGCCCCGGTCTAATAATATCACACATTAGCCCAATAGTTCGAAGGGCTCCCTCACAGAAAATTTAACACACTTGGTCAACAGATTCTAAGGGTATCACAGATTAAAATCACTTCCAACAAACAGTTCATGCAACATAAATATTTTGATAATTGCTTAGTCATTATGAAACTGAAGGTCATCACTTGCTGACACTGAAAAGCTACAACTGGGGAATGAGGCATAGCTCTTTATAAACTGTCACCATAGCATCTTGGTACCTCACTCTCCGAGTTAACAATCGCAGCATCATCCAAAACATCCTTTCAGTATGTTTTGCACTTATAACAATTTAACAACAGTTAATTTAAAGGCAATAGGATAACTGAAATCCTTGAGCAATATAACGTTATTCAATTCTGGCAAAACTACTAACAGTGGACTGGTCACGCCTCTGTCTAGTAGAACATCTACTATCCAGTAGGAAGGCTATTACATGCTTATTTACTTGCTCTTTTCTCCCACAAACCCCCTATCTTTAAGTCACTAAAAATACTTCTCCAAATATCCATTTATTTACAAAACTTCATAAACTTTTGTATGCTTATCTCCTTGCAAATCTCACAATCAGTCCATTCTATTACCATCCTCAGCACCATGCTCATTCTGTCGACTGCCATTGAATTAAACCACTTACCTGTCACGTGTATTGCACGGGCCATAGTTAAAACCAGCACCCGATTAAGCTCCTCTGAGTCTGTGCTTATCAAGTTGGGTTTTGTATCCGAACAGAAAGTGTAACGTGTCAGACTTGGCATCACTTCTGAGTTGCCCAAACCGGTAATCAGTCTGAGTGCCACACTCTCCATACTGGAAGATAACACAGAATATCATTCACGACACAAAAAACTGACACCGTATGTTCAAATTACAAGGCATAAAACCAGCGTTGAAAGTAATGAATGTAATAAATTCCTTTCTGGAAATACTTAAGTAGTAACATGGATACTGGTGAAAACTAACTTGACTAAGAATTAGTCAAAGACAACATTTGTGAAGTAATTCTGCTTTACATATTACATTGTAATAGTTTCTTTAACCAAAGAATTAGCATTACCATAAGTGAAGTTGTGTCATTTGAGTCATGGCATTGAGGGGCACCGCAACCATGTGGTGGATGGTCGAGAGCAGCTGGATGCGATACTGCGGTGGAGAGTGATGAATACGGTGGATAAACATCTCCAACAGAGCATGCAGCATGCTCCACACGTGACTCTTGTACACTACTGGCAACAGGTTTGCTGTCGACGTGAATAGAATTATTTATATGCTTTTCAAGTGTTTTATAAAACCCAAATTGCTACTACTACCGTCATCTTGACATTAACAGATAACAGACAATATATCACTGCCACACAGGGCAATAAGTGCAGATCCATGATGTCAAATAACATGTAGCAGTGGCAGATAACACACATCATCAGAAACAACATGCAAGTCTACAGAAAATCAGTGACTTAATACATTATCTATCCTAATGTGTGTCTTAATTAAACAGTAACATTCCATTAAACCTAACAAACTGAAAAAAATATTAAACTTATTTTATGTGAACTTTCTTGTTTATTTTAAGTAATGCTGCACAATTTCACCATCCAAAATAATATTTTATTCAACAGATTGATTGATAAATCCTTTAAAAGGCTAATTGTCTAAATTTCTGTAATAATAATTTTTAATGCCCTATTATCAGAATTTCATGTTTATCAGTATGTTTAACAATGGGCTATATCAAACAACAAAAATGGAAGAAATAATTCATCATGTAGAGCAGAAACATTCTCTTCACACTCACTTATGAAGGTCTTTATCCCAATGCTTTCAATCTCTGTGTAGACTAACAGTCGTGAGTATGTTTCAACGAGTGCTGGGGCCAGTGCCACGCCCGATTTATGTTGTGCTTGCTTTTGTATATGCTGAAAAATTATTACTTTTAAATTGCATAATTATATACATAAAATATATTGCAAAATAAAATACAATTAACGGTGAATACAGGTCTTTATTTATCAATGTGCAAATGTTGATGTGTAAGACAACTGTAGAGTTGTACAAGACATCAATGTCACGCTAACCCCCACTGCTCTATGCCCTTTATCACATACACACCTCCACACCTACCCTGTTGACTGCCTTGCCTATGGATATATGAAATGCTTCCAATAAATAAGCCAAGACAACTGTAATGAAAAGATTTCATGGCTAGTACTAAAATGTTAGATGTAAATTTGAATTATGTTCGAAGGGAGCACAATAAATTGCCACCAAGATGCTATTAGAGTTGCATAAGAATTACTAGAATAAAATATTTATATTAAGAACATGAAAAGAAAACTTACCACAATTGCAATAAAATACAGCACTGAAAGGCAAAAGTTAAACCATCAGCAAAACCCTGCAATATCGCATAATGTGAAGTTCTATTGGCCCCCCAGGGACCACAAGCCAGAAATTGACCCCCCCTCAAAGAGGTGCAGGGAGCGATGGCCTATGAACACATTACATTTAAAGTTATTCGTAATTAACATGACCAGGGAAGCACCCAGAAAGTTAGGTGAGCCAAAACAGACTACTGCATGGTCAAAAACAAGACTGCAACCCCAAAATGCCAAAAGAACTCCCCTAACAATGAAAAACAAACCACCAAAATCTTTTGAAACTAGCTCACACAAGTTTGCCCCACCTCCCACCTCATTAGGGGGATGAGTGAGGCATACCTGGTCACCCAGCCTGTCTTTCAGTTCTATAATAATGAAACACACTGGTGCCCTGGGGAGGGAGTCTTCAAGGCTCACCCAGAAATTGGCATTTCATTACATTCAATGCTAGTTTTTTATGGAAGACCTGCTGGCTTCCTGAAGCTGACTATCTATGGAGAAGGACAAAAGAGGGCAATTACCAAAAAGGAGACAGCACCTGCAGGAATCAATTCGTTCACAAGACACCTAGCCGGCAAGACCCTGTGCGACCCTGTAAACTCCCACACCTGAATATTGGTCCAAGACATATTAGCAAACACCACTGGCAGAGCGGCAGACTTCTGGACATCATTAGCATGAGGCTAGGCCACAAGCTGGCTAGACTGAAGTACACTGCAGATGAACTGAGAATGATGAGCCCTAGACCAGGGAACCAGGGAAACTGCATCAACCCAGAACAAATTCACCGAAGCAGAACCGGTGGCATGATTGAATTGAAATTTAAATAAGTTTATTGAGGTAAAATACACACAAAGGGATGAGGTAGCTCAAGCTATTCTCACCCCGTTCAGTACATCGTGTTAATACATACATATACACATCACAAGCAATAAACGTATTACCGAACATTCTGAGAGATAAACTTATACATTTCCTCCTTTATGGTAGTGGCGTAAAACCACCACTGAACAAAGTGCATGATGCACCCCCAGCTGGACCAACCAGGTACTGTACCATAACAAAAGGACCCTCTGGAAGCCTTGTTGCTACCCAAGACACCAGCCCCAAAAGCCACAGACCCCCCCCCCCCCCAAAAGTGAACAAGGAACCACCAGGAACAGTTCGTGAGGAGACAGATCACTGACCTCAGAGGAATCTGAACTCACAGCTGCAAAACCCACACCGTACTGAGCGCCCAAAAAGTTATGTCGATCAAGGGTGGAGGAAGGTACCAGGAAAATAAACCCTAACAACCCAAAGAGTAAGCTGGTGATGCAGCAGCCTGTGCAGGGCCCCCAGGGGATCTCAGCAATCATGAGAGACGTGAAAGGTGCCCTGAAAAAATCAGAACAACCTCTGAACCAATCCTGCCCAATGGGAAAACGTAAGGGTCCCGCACAACTGCTCGAGTAACCACCGAGCCACCCAGCACCCCATCAACACCAGCAGACGGCTGCCCTGCAGCCAGAGCAAGGCTGTAGGAAGCAGGGAAGGTGATGGCGACCAAAAATCTTAAGGTAGACCCAACCAAGTCCGATCCAGGGAGAGAACCAACTGGGACTTCTGCCAGGACACCAGGAACCCAATTCCGGTGAACTGGGAAAGATCCAAAACCCTGGCTAGCAGACAAACAGACTGGCTGGGAGCCCACACCAGCCAGTCTTCGAGGTGGGCCAATACTTAAGACCTATCAAACCAAAAAAGGGCCACCATGACCCAAGGAAAATGAGGGAAAAATAAGGTGCCATGAACAGTCCAAACAGGAAACCCAAAAGCGGAAAACCTGTCACACCACACCAAAACCAAACGAATCCCCAAACCCCAGGAGGAAATCCAGGGAAACACTCAAGCACCAGCTCGAGAGAGAACGAGCCCGGGACAATGGAGTCACCCAAAAAAGAGCAAGGGACGAACCAGTGCAAATGGGAAGGAATGAACCGGTTCCAAAAAACCCATATTGGGAATGGACCCAGAAGAGTTCGACCTCACCTGAAGCACTCACCAAGATAACAAAGAAAGCAAGGAGAGGAGACCTGCCCCAAAAGCCCCCCAAAGGAGGCGGGACTGACTAACTCCATTGCAGACCAAAACATGACCTGAAAAGCCCACAGACTGCAGGACCAAGAGCTATCAAACTGAGCAAGCCTTCCCCACTGCCCCGACAAAAAGCAACCCATAAAGAACTGGTGTACACTATGAGCCAATTGGCCATGCAGAGTGAACACGGCACCAACCAGGCGAATGGAAGAGGCAAGGTGAAGTGCAACCGACCTGCCTGCTTGCACCACAGAGAACCCACCTCGGCAACAGCAGACAATGCCCTGGCACAACCAAAAAGCTCAGAAAAAATATGAGAATAAACCCCCCCCTCAAACATCCCAACAAAACATCAACAGGCTGGCAACTACTGCAGGAGCTGGAGGAAGAGCAAAGGCCCACACAGAGTTCAAAGTCCAGGCCAGCACAGCTTGTCAACAAGCGAGATGGGAGATGAAATTCATGAAAATACCCCCAAGAGCACACAAAAATGGGCAACCAACTCCAAAGTGGCATGAACCACAACCCCCACAGAAGGAATAGCACCGAGAGACCCAACAACCTCTGGGAGCCAACATAAGCAGCTCCAGGTGACCCAAGAACTGCATGACAGTGGTCATGCACTATATATTCTCTGCCTATACATCTCTCCTATTTCTTCTGGCTCAATGTCTCCCCACCTCATGAAAGTGGGATAAAGAGTAATGACGATGATAAAATCATTACACTACCACGTATGCAGAGCCATACATACCTGCCCAATGTTATGGACGAGACTCATCTTGACGTGCACTGTGAGGGCATCAAGTAATGTTATGGAGAGTGGTGATGTGCTACCAAGTGCTACACAGTTTATACCTGGCATTGGTACAGTTGATTTTTGATTCCCCTGAATACTTTCAGACAATATGAGAATTGGTCTCTGGAAATATTCCTGAAAAAAGAGAAGAGATCACAAAAAATTCTATGTAAATATTTTTAAAATGTATCAATAAAATTTGTCCTATATAATTGCAGAAAATATATTTAATATATATAGAAGCAATTACAAATTTTCTAACTCAAAGATTTACATATTTTGATTTTTAATGGTGACACTGTTCCTACTGGCTGATTAACAGAATGGCCAACAAATGCACAATACTCTGTTATTCAGCTTAATTACCTGAATTCTTGGATTAAGCAGCCAAAATCCAATTCATATAATGAATGACTTATCCAAGCACCAGTTGGATAACCAGAAATAAACCAAAGGAGTGTATGATGAAAACAAGGTTCAGTTCAGTTAAAGTCTCAAATTACATGAATGGTGGTCATGTTGCCAGATTATATGACTGGCAACTGGAATATAAGAGACAAGATTAACCAGAGCCTAGAAAGAAAAAGAAAAAAAAATAGGGTTCAGTATGATTAAGGTTTCCAAGATTATCCGACTGATATACATGTACAGTAATAACCCGGAGATAGGCAGGGAAAAATCCCCAATTTATCCAAATCCCAAGATTACACTAATAAAAGACAGAACCAATTTGGTTTGGATAACTTACTTGCAAGAGAGTTGTATTGATGGAAGAATGTGTGTAAGAGAAGGAAAACGGTAGAAAGCATCTGGTACGTATAACTTCCATCAATACCCTGTTCTACAATATAATATTGCAAGAAAATAGAAAGCATCATATAATAAAAAGATATTACCTGATTGGTGGAATAAGCATTTAAAAGCAGGGCAATTCTATAATCAGGAGGAGCACCAGCAGTAATGAGTGGCAACTGGGGGTTATGGGCCAAACTCTGAAGAAACCTGTAAGGAAAAATACTTCTTTGCAATCAAACAATAAAATTATGTCTTCTGACTTCAGGTGGTATATTTACCTAATTATATATTGTGGATTATTAACACTAATGGTTTACACAGAGAAATCACATTGTGATATGGGTATATTAATGAACAAATCCACAGTAGCCGTGAAGAGGGTTCGAACCTATGCGCTGGGTGTTCCCAGATGCACGCTCTAGTCGACTGCACCACGACATGGTCAAATGAATTGCATCCCGGGGAACTGCCGCACCCTCGGGGATCCCGAGGCTTCCACTGGAGCCGAACCGAGTTGCAATTCTTTTGACCGCGTCATTGCGCAGTCGACTAAAGGGTGCATCTGGGATCACCCGGCGCATAGGTTCGAACCCTCTTCATGGCCCCTGTGGATTTGTCGACTAATGGTTTACTTACAAGATTCAAGTTGACTGGACATGCACAAAGATTACTATGTTTACCTAGTTGTGAGTAAGACCTAGCTCTAAGCCCCTGCCTGTCAGCTATTGTACCTAGTGTTTTTACTCTTCTTGATACTCTACTCTCTGTTATACTTGCTCCTGAACATCCTGATGAAACTTCTACAATTTCACACATACGTTCTCTTTACTTCCCACCCGGACTGAATACGAGTATTTCCATTTCAATGACTCATTTGTGTTTGCAGTTTTCATGTGTGTCCTCCTTGTCCTGTTTTTCCTCATCTATTTCTCTCAGTATCTTAAATGTTAGGATCATATCAAAGCTGGTTCTTTTATTTTCTAGTGTAATTAGGCTTAGCTCTCATAACCTGTCCTTATAACTAATCTCTCTTAACTTTTGTTACCAGTCTCATAGCAAATTTCTGACTTCTCTATTTTCTGTGTTACATAATAATTCCATACTGGAACTGCATAACCCAGAACACGTCAGACATAAGCTATTTACAATATTATGATCGATGCAATTTTATTTGTAAGCGTCACTGGAATTAGTTGTACCTCTGTTGTATCTTCCTTCAGGCTAGGCTTCTATCTCCACTCCCAAACATCAATGCTTTACATTGGCTTGTTCAGGTCTGCTATATAATATTGTGTAATAATTTTCAGTCCTCACCCTTGTAATTAGTTTCACAACTGCAAATACTGACATGCGAGACCTTACCTTCTCGGATAGGTTATTCACACTCGTATAAAGAAAAGTAGGGGGACTAAGGACTGACCTTGCCACTTCTCACACCCTCACAATGCTTCTCTCACTATAAATCGGCCTCCTGTCAGCCAGGTACCTTATCAAGTATCAAGTTAAAAATCAAACTATTTATCAAGTGATCGCTATAAATTCAGCTAAGCAACCACCGAGGGGATAAGAGAAGAGAAGAATGATCACATTTTCTTTTAAAGAAACCGTACTTGGTAAACCAAAGAATTGCTTGTAAATTATTCACAGCAGAAATATATGTAATACAATTAGGTTGATTAAAGAAAGGTGCCAGGCAAAAAGGTTTTTTCTTAGCTAGAAAGAGAGAGACTTAAAATAACTTTAATCGCAATCCTCAGGAAGAGAAAGTTGTCCACCCACACTGAAAGGACACAAAGTATTTACAAGTCCATCAATTCATGGTTCATGTTAATTCTTGTTACGAATAAAAACAACTTGGAATAAAAAAAATGGTAAAGTTGGCAGTGTGAAATATATACAGTATCATGCATGTCATAATTTGTTCCAAATCATTATGAGAAAAGAAGGTTATTTCACTACACTTTAAGGTGTACCAAGAGTGCAATAAAGTTACCAAGAGTGTTTGAAGGTTACATACTTTTACATCAAGAGATTTACTATCTTAACACATTTATAATTGCCTCCAAAATATTGCGGTTCATATCAGAAGCCTCGCTTCACACTACTTTCATTTCGTCCCTTTTCTGCTTTTATACAATTTCCATTACAACATCCTCATCTTTAAATGGATACAAATATGAACTACCTCATCTGGGCCAATAGGCCTTCTGTACAATAGTTGCTTTTTATTCTTATGCTTGAATTTAAATTTAACATTTGCCTTAAATTTTATTATCTGTGTGCTCAAAAGTGACTGAAATAACCCTCAAAAATTAACTTGCAAAACATACGTACTCATGATGAGTCTTGAAGATTGGTGGGAGTGCACGAGGTGTCTTAATATTATCTGCCTGAGCCTTCTTTAGGATGTGCATCAGAATACACATAGCAGCCATCTGCATCACACACTGTGGGTCAGAGTAGTCAGGTACGGGTAGCGGTTCAGCCTCGGGGTACAACACCTCTGAAACAATATACAAGACTTTTATTTATCATTTAACACAAACTCAAAAGTCCATTATTAATAACATGGATTCATGTAGGAGAATTACAGTATGTAGGGGTGTCTCCATCTTCACATTATTCATCAACTGCACAATCTCTGGATATTTGAATATTGGAAATTATCTCTGGCTATCCATCTATCTATTCTCTTCTATAATATAAGGTACAACTAACCAATGAGTCTGAGGACAGGGAGAAAGTCAGAGAATTGATTCTTTTGTATGCTGCCTGAGAGAAACTGTAGCAGAACCCACATCAGGTGGTCACGTCCTTGGTGTCTACCTTTTGTCTTCAGCTGAAAAAAATTAATGTACAATCCTCAGTCTTTTTTTCACCATGTGAGTAACTTATATAGGATTCTCTCTGAACTATATCGCACACAAAACAGAAAAACATCAACATTCATATACTAAACACAGAGAGCAATCACACTAATGTTATGTATCAATGAGAAAATCTGTAGTAGTGATGAGGATTCGAACCTATGCGTAGTGTTTTCCCAAGAACATGCCTTAGACAACCAGGCCACGACATGGTAAAAAATTGCAGCCTGGGGTTCTGCCGAGCCCACGAGAATTCCTGAAGGCTTCAGTGGAAGCTTCAGGAATCCTCATGGACTCAGTAGAACCCCCGTTTGTAATCCTTTTGACCATGTGGCCTGGATGTCTGGGAATGCTCAGCGCATAAGTTTGAATCCTCATCGTGGCTCCTACGGATTTTCTCATTAATATGCTATATTAGTGGGTGTAAGTAAATAAGTAATTCTCAGAAGGCACAAGGCTGGAAAGACTATTTAGCACTATCTGTGTTATGGGATACAAAGTAGGTACGCACTAAATAGCACTCAGGATCCTAATATGAAAGCAAAAAGGCAAAAGGGGAGTGACATCAAAGGTATCGGATTTAACAAGGCTTCTGTCAAGGACCAGGTGACCTAGAGGGATAATGGAAAAGTAAGACTTACAACCATACTGAAAATAAAGGTTAGAAGTTAAGAACATAAATGAGTCAAGAGAAACTTAAGAAAATACTCGTATGCACTGTAGATGGCCAATAAATGGAATGCACTGAAAGAAGTCGTTGAAGACTCCAAGTATAGAGAGCCAGTAATTATCAAAAGAAAATGGTAAGCTAGAATGGAACTTCAAGACCACATGCAAGTGAGAACAAGTACATCAAAATATTTAAGAGCACCAGGTATCAATAGCATGGAGGACAAGCACAATGAGCCCTTCTCACTCCCCCATGCAGTAATAAATACCATATTTTCTGGCATACAGGATGCCCTGTTATAACATTAACTTTAAGCTCAGTGTCATAGATTACACAAAAGAACATGGTAATGAGGTAAGCTGTACTGTATTTTAAAATCCCTTTCAATAAACGGATGATGAAACATACTAAAATTGTCAGTTCCACAAAATAAACTTATAAGGAAAATCTTCTCTTAAGAGAAGATCTTGTACAAAGGAAATACAATAACTACCAACAGGCAAAAACTGAGCAGCAGATCACTAGGCTAGTGTTACTCTAGGTAACAGTAAACTTAATTATCTGGTTTCTCCATGCAGTTCATTATGTAGGCACTGCAATTAAAATGTGCTATTAAATATTTTTTGTAATGCTCATTAGTCTTATATAAGATATATATTAAGCTTCAGTGTGTGTACAGTATATACAGTAATATTTTACAATGTATACTGTACATTAACTAGCCAACTGCATTTACCGTTGGTTAATATTTAACTTGACTACTGTACTTGTACTATCTTCATCACTAAGATCTTTCAGCTCCTGCAATGTTCTCGCAGTTTTTAATGGTATCAATGGTCACTAGTGTAGATACTGGCTGGAGGATGTGCTAGACATGGTATGCACATATTTTCCAAGGGCCAGGAAGGAAACTAAGACTCAGGATTTTTTCCAATATTACAGATGATTGCCAGAGCCACCTGGGAATCTTATGTAACCAAACACCTACCATGATTTTTAGGTGAATTGAGCTACAAGAAATCATCTCAAATGATTTGAGCAATCCATACAATCATCACTGACTACAGCACTACTACAGCTAAACCACTATACAAAGATTTATTTGTGTGTATTTGATAAATTTTTAATATATAAAAAATTTATGCACAAGAGGAAATGGGAACAAATTACTGTGAAGTTGGAGAGTTAAGGGTTAATAGCACTTCCTACTTTCCTTAATAGGAAACCTTTTAGAGTTTGAATACGACTATTGCTTGTCAATATACAGTAAGTAATAACTTCTAACAAAACTAATAAGTAGTTTCTAACAAGTACGAATATATAATAAACTCACCTTCTCATGTAATCTCAGAACCAAAGATGGAAATGAAACGAGTTGAAACAAGACAAAATATATTAGAAGAGAAGACAAATGGGCACAGAAACAAGGACTGTGATCAGTACACGTGGAGGAGGAGCCATTACTGGAAGAGCCATTGGTCGTAGAGCCACTGCCAGAATTATCCACATGACTGCAGTCTTGCTCTAAGGCAGTAATTATCAGTTCTACCAGCTGCTCCTCCAGGGCAATGCATCGCTGCTTTTGCTGCAACAAAAATATTGTGTGGTACTTAATGAATCATCATATTTTTAGCAGTTAAAAGTAAAGTATTGAGAGTACATTTTCCTATTTTGCATTAGCAAAGAAATACTGTATTGTAAATTCTAAATTATCTCCAGCGATAGAAAAATATATATTTTAACCATAAAACTGAAATTATGATTGTTATTGAAACAATCACAAAGAACAGGTTAAGGGGACATCCACTATTGTTGTCCTAAAATAAAACTTTATAAAACAAACCAGTAAATGCAAATAAACGTATAAACCAAACTGCTTTTTAAACATAAAACCCCATTAACCTTTTTTTGTATGTCTATCGCAGTGCAAACCATCTCTCGCGAATATGGCTGCCTGAGAATATAGCGCAGAAGAGTAGGCTGGGCTTCTAGGAGCTCAGGGCTGTATGGCAGGGCACCCTTCAGCTGGAACTTCAAGGTCAAAGAGTCTAATTTCCAGGAGTTGATAGATGGACTATTGTGCCCTGAAGCATTGAAAACAATATTATTAACAGCACCAATAACCATTAGCAGAAAACTAAGTCATTAAACCTATATATAGACAGTATTTGGCAACAAGTCAATTTACAGCATCTATATCTATCAAAACTATCTCCTAGGCCATGTTAAGCTAATGCATGTGGAAGTGGAAGGAAAGAGGGAGAGCACAGTGACACCCTCTTATGTCAGGCTTCTTATTAATGCAACACTGGAATAACCCAGCTTGTGTTTATAAACCTTCTGGTAAAATCGACTCATTTTCAGCCAACCAGAAAAAAACAATATAAATATAGAAGTCCATATATCCCTGAAGAATTCCAGATATGTGGAATCCTTATACATAAAGAATTTACTATATATCAATCTATTATCTTCACTTTTTCTTATACATATAGAATGGCACTTCTTGTGAACCATACATTGAGTTCAATATTAGCCAAGTACCTATAATATAGGTTTTTAACCAAAGGCAAAGGCTGAGGGGAATCCTAATAAAAGCCTGGCCTTTTCTTTTTAATACTGTACTGTACTTCAACACCAACCCATCCCCACACCTAATACTTCCCATTTTTTCAGAATCGACCAATCCATTACAAATTAGATGTATTAGCAAAAATTAATACTTTGCACAGCCCGGCGTGCGTGCCCAAGCCCACCTGGTCGACCTGGCGTTTCCCGTGAGCGCACACCCACACTAAAATGTGTATACTTTTTCCAGTGTTCTGACCTCAATTTTTGTGCTACGTCGTTCATCTTGGTATCAAATTGTTCGCAATATAATTCTCTAAATGAATACAGTATATATATATGTATACAAGGTCAAAACCCCCCCTGCATGTCCCCCACAGCAAACCCGAAAACTGGCCGAGTATTACCTATGAGCATGCAACCACACTAAAATGTGTACAGTATATTCTTTACAGTTTTCTGACTTCAATGTTCGTGCTATATCGTTCATTTTGGTATCAAATTGTTCGCAATAGAATTCTCTAAAGGAATAGAGGCACATAAGGTCAAAACAAAAGCCCACTACCCGCAGCAAACTGGAAAATCCACCGAGCATTACCTGTGAGCAAGAACCCATTCACACACCAAAATGTGTAAACTCTTTTCAGTTTTCTCACCTCAATTTTCATGCTACATTGTTCATTTTGCTAACAAATTGTTCAGAATCGAAAGGTGCGCATTAAAGAACTAGTCTCATAATAAATGAACAATAAATGGAATTTTAACAAATATTTTAATTTTGGACGCAACATGCATCCATGTAGGACATCCATAGAGTTATTTATGGACGCAATTTCCATCCCCGCCCGCCGAAAGTGTTAAAAGCATTATAATATTGACCTTTCTTATGCATCAACCTCAATAGTCGATGGGTTGCTTGGATTTGGACATTTCTGGTTGGGCAAAACAGTTGCATTTTGAGAACAGTGACAAATCAAGAGAACAGGCTGAAGAAGCACAGTGAACTCAACAATGTAAGAGTAGGAACACAAAGGATCCCACTGACAAGTCAACATTATTAGCACAACGAACTTATATAAACAATAGTAGCAATCTTACCATCTTGATATACCATTTTCATTAAATATGAGTCAAGGGTCACAATTGTTTTTTGAGATTATAAAACACACATTCCATCCAATGTTTGTGGAATCAAAGAAATTATATTGAAAGGTAAATCCAAGACTAAAGAAAGTACTGTGCTAAAGGCACAGTGCCTTTAACAAGTGTTAAAGACACTATCTCTACAATTATTTCCAACAAGTTACTCATAGGGTAAGGAGGTATTTGGCCTTAATACTAAGCTGTATATAAATGCATGATATTTAATCCACAATCGATAAATTCTTTCCCTGCGATCAATAAGAATTGAAAGGGATAATTTACCCCAAAATAAAATGTGTTTCCAGTCTTATATAGAATGAGTTGCTGATGGAACACATTCAGTAGGTTATAGTTATACATACAGAGTAGTAATCAATTTACAGTACTGTATAGAGGGCTAACCTGCATGTTCAACAATAGGTCGGAGCTTTGGGCGGATCGCTACTGACAGCATTTGAGCAGCTCTTCGAAACTTGTCAACAAAGTCTGTCAAGAGTGATGCCAATTTCTGTAATTTTTAAAACATAAAATTTAATGCATGTCCACAGATTAAATAAAGCAGTTTTGTAATTCCCAAGTTACAATTTTTTATTTCTGCCGATCATATATAATTTACGGGACTATAATGGGGTATTCAATAGACCCTCTTGCAGTTACAGTATTTGGCCAAAATATTTAATATCACAGTACATTTAATTCCAACTTTAGTTGGTAGGCATCAGCCCAGAAGAGGAATAGTATAATCAAAGGTTATAACAGTAGATATTAGGAATGAAAGGAAGACTATTTTTTACCAAAAACCCAGCATTGATTGTAATGAAACACCATTTTCTGGGTGAGACCCGGAGGCTTCCCAGTGCTATACCGGCTTGAAATGTGTATATATTAGACCGTGGCAACAGTCAATCAATGGAGTTCTAGGCCTACCAGGGACCAGCGCCAGAACCTGGCCCCCACAGAGAGGCACGAGGAGCAATGGCCTATAGATACCCCTCCCCATGTAGTTAGAAGCAGTCTAAATCTGCCATCTACCAGATCAGGCACCCAGAAAGGTAGGAATCCCAAAACAAACTACAGCTGGTGAAAAATTGCTAACCTAAAGTCGAATGAGCAAATAGAACTCCCCAATCAGAAAACAAGCAAACAAGCATGACAACACCACAGCCGCTGTCTGTGCAACTCCCCCCTTCCTGGGAGAGGGGGGGGGGGAGGACCCAAACCTCCCACACCGGCTACCCAACCCCAGTTCAGAGGCTGATATAAAAAACGCTTAGGTGTTGGTACCCTTGGTACCAACACCCAAGGCTCAAGCTCTCCTCAAGTCAACTCCTCCCCAGCCCCGGGATCCTCCACGTCAGGACCCGAGGCTGAGCGGTCCTCCAAACCCTCTGCCTCTGGAGAAAAGGCAGAGTCCACTGAAAAAGCAGGGATGAAGGTGGCCTGCTGGCATGACCCAAAAGTCCAGGCAAGAGGAACAGGCTCGAATGCCTCCACTGCTGATCCGGAAGGGGCAGTCCCCGAAGCTGCCCAAGTCTCAGTCTCATCACCAAGAAAACCCTGCCCAGACTTTGAAACCCTCAGACGTTTGGGAACCAAAAGCAGGATGAACCACACCAAGGAAAGAATAAAGGGGCGTGGAAGAAACCAGAGTCGAAGAGACCAACACCCCTAAGTCCGGGTCCCAATAACCAAAGTGGGGCAGCCGCGGGGCATCCGGAAAGGCAATTAACCTAGTGTTTCAGCAATCGAAACTGCGCATGCAACGTAGATGTTGCCTGCACCCGAACAACAGTATTATCGGACTGAGTGAACTGGAGTACAAGCAAGGAACACCACTTGCAAGACTCCGGGTCAAAGGTGTCATCGATCCAACAGGCAGCATGGCGGAGGCAAAGATGGTGAATGTCACCCTGAGACAAGGGGACAGAGCAACCTTCAAACTTACACAAAGCGAGGTGGGACTCAAGAGGTCCCATCCATCAGACCGATGAACCCCAACGGGGGTTTCCAGGGCCCCTTAGGCTGACTGCTAAGGGAAGTCCAGGCAATGTACTGCTAACTGTCCTTGTGGATTTGTTCATTTACTGCTAACTGGTTATCCCAGAGCTAGCAAATAGACTAAAAGTAGAACCTCTGCGATGTGCGCAAACACGGGGACCTAGTGGAAGCCCACCAAAATCATACAAGTGGTCCTACAGCCACACCAGGCAGACCCTCACCAGGCAAAACAAAAGGAAAGGAAAAACCCTACAAAAGCATGTCTCCAGAGGTGGGGGGGGGGACAGAACCGGCTGCTATGCATATATCAGACAGCTGCACAGTACCTTGTGCCCCAGCCAGCAACGATACTACCTCCTATGCAAGGTCAAACAGGAGTAAGAACAACCCCAGCTGATCCCAAGAGCAGGCAATCACCGAGCAGCAAAAGAACCACACGGAGGTAGTCTCCCGAACCGCCTATGGAAGATAACCATAAAGTACAAGGGCAGTACTTACAGGTCACCTAGGGAAGGTGGCCCTAGGTGTATGCAGCCCCAGTACTGCATGTGTTACTCCTGGCTCGCATACCACCACACACAACACCACCACCACCGCTATGCACAGCAATGTTCAAAAGGATGGAGCCAGAGTTGATCGATGGCCACAAAACACAACAACCACTGAACTGGGATTGGGTAGCTGGTGCAGGAGGTCTGGGACCCCCCCCTTTCCCCTCCAAGAAAGGGGGGAGTTGTGCAGACAGCAGGGTGGCGGCTGTGGTGATGTCATGCTTGTTTGTTTGTTCGGCTTTCAGTTAGCAATTTTTTTTCACCAGCAGTAGTTTGTTTTGGGATTCCAACCTTTCTGGGTGCCTGACCTGGTAGATGGCAAATAATGACTGCTTCCAACTACACGGGGTGTTTATAAGGCCGTTACTCCTTGTGCCTCTCTGAGGGGGGCCAGGTTCTGGCACTGGTCCCTGGAACTTCATCGATTGACTGTTGCCACGGTTTAGTATATACACATCAGCCCGGTATAGCTCCAGAGAGCCAAAGGGGGTTCTCCACAGAAACAGTATGTGAGGCTGATTGTACCACACAGTGGTGGGTGGTGAGGTTGTCATATCCATATGGCAGCGTAGGATGTCACCCCTGTGCTTACTATGATGATCCTGTCCAATGGGACCTTCAGTGACAGACTTAAGGAGTATCCGAGTGGAATAGCTCAGAAATTAACGAGACCAAAATCATACCACCTGGTCAGAGGCTAATAAAGATACAATAAAGCTTATGTGTGAGCATGAGCATTGCAAGTATGAGCATTCACAAATAGGTGAGAATGTACTCGCCTATTTGTGAAGGGACCCGTTAAATTAGTGTATGGTATAGATGTACCACGTTTCATTCCCACAAATAACTTGCCATAATTGAGGGTTGGCTTAGTTTTTGTCCTAGAAAAAAAGGACCCCCCCCCTCTCATAAGAGACAAGGACAGTTCATTACTGAAGAATGCATGATATAAGACAACGAGGATACCTAGATTTATCTCCTGAAGTGTTAGCAATAAAACAACTACTGTAGTTAGTAATTGTAATGTCTTCTCACAGACATAATAAAATAGAATAAAAACCCACACTTGCGTATTTGTGAAATTTATACAAGAAATTTACAACAAGTCTTTCGCACTCTCCCGAGTGCTTTTTCAAGGTCTGAGTGTGTGATTAGGACAAGACTTACCTAACGTCGGAGCCGGTCGGCCGAGCGGACAGCACGCTGGACTTGTGATCCTGTGGTCCTGGGTTCAATCCCGGGTGCTGGCGAGAAACAATTGGCAGAGTTTCTTTCACCCTATGCCCCTGTTACCTAGCAGTAAAATAGGTACCTGGGTGTTAGTCAGCTGTCATGGGCTGCTTCCTGGGGGTAGAGGCCTTGTTGAGGACCGGGCCGCGGAGACACTAAAGCCCCGAAATCATCTCAAGATAATTCAAGATAACGTCTAATTTGATTAGACGTTGAGATGTAAATCTCATCCTATTCACACACCGAGACCTTGAAAAAGCACTCAGGAGTGCAAAAGACTCGTAAATTCCTTGCACAAATTTCACAAATACACAAGTGTGGGGTTTTATCCTTAAAAGAACTAGTGCTATTCTTCAGCTTTATCATTCTTTTGTTAGGCCTCTTTTAGATTATACAGTTTAATTTGGGTCTTCATCATATAGACTGGACAAGTTCATGTGAATAAGTTCAGAGAAAGATGACAAAGTTAATCCCAGGAATTAGAAGCCTTTCATATGAAGAAAGATTAATGAAAGTGAAGAGTCGGGTGACATGGTTGAAGTGTACAAATGGATAAAAGGATATAACATATTATACCCTTTTATAACAAGGGTATATACCCTATTATACCAAGGTGATGTTAATAAGGTGTAAAATATACCAACACATAATACAACACAAAATAATGGATGTAATTTTGATAAATTTAGATTCAGGAAAGATCTTGGAAAATATTGGCTTGGAAATAGGGCGATTGATCTATGGAACAAATTACCATCTAAATAAAGTTCTCATCCTCTAACTACACTTGGGTAATTACCACCAGGATGAAAGGCTAGAATGTAAGAGGAATGGTTGTTGAGAGTATGAAGGCTTAACTTGGCTGCAGACATGTGCTTCATATCAAAGCTATACTATTTTTGTATGCCAAGAGTAATTAGAGAAATTGGGAGAAATCTTCTGGCCCTACTTTCATCCAGAACACACTTTATGTTTCACTTGCAATTTTAGTACAAGGATAAACATTTTGTATTTATTATTTCAGTTTCATACCATTAACATCTTTGTTTATAGAACACCTTTTGCACAACAATTAGCTGGCCATGACCTGTATACCATCATTACTTGTCCTTAGAAAGTGCCTTGCAGCTCTCAAGGTTACCTGTCAGGTAGAATAATGTCGAGTGCAAGGCAAATAACTTAAGCATCTGCAAACCACTCTGAATAGTTTTAGCATCTACTGACGTCTTCCTGTCTAATCAAGTCAATCATCACTTATTGATAATGATTGCAGACCCACCATCACCTGTCAGCTACTATCTACTAATGTCTCTAAAGCCATAGCAATTGCACCAGTCAATCTTTGCTACCGTTTATCAGCAAGACAATCTTAAAGCTACTACTCCAGTTCAAGTTTAACAGTGTGCATAACCCATGACTGGCTTTTGACCTGGGGGACACACATATATCTCTATAATACTATAAACATCTATGAATTCACTAAATTGTACTTGCTGAGGATAAGAGCTTTGGCTCTTTGGTTCCACTTAGGTTTATTCTATACCAACCCCGGTACAACCTCCAAACTGGTTTGTAAATGTTTTCATCATTAACTGTTTATTATTATTTCCAGATACAGTAGCAGTTATCTGGAAATCCTTAAAATAACATAACTTTTATAACCTACAGCAGTTAAATTTTTAATGCAACAGTTTCATTAAAAATTAAACCAATCTCCTTGAGCACCATAATGTAAATAAAAAAATTTAATCTTACAAAATTATATTAGACTTACCCAATGAGGCCAATGTTTATAGTCTGGATAAAGCTTGAGAAGCTCATTTACAATAAAATATCCAGGAAGAAGTGATGCATTCCTGTCAAAAATCAACTCCATGACTTCGTACAGAGCATCTACAAGATGTAGCTGAGATCTCTGAAGGTTAGTTGGAAGCTGTCGGGCACGGTCTAAACACATCTGTAATGTCAACACCACTCCTTGTATCTACCTTAATTTGGTTCACTTTGAATGTCATTAGATGAAATAGTACTGTAATCAAGTTTAACAAATTCAAATGACCAAAAGCTTTATTTGAATGGAAATGTATTGAATTATATGAATCTTATTGAATTTATAGAAACTTACTTTATAAATGTAACCAAACCCCTAACATAAATGGAGCATCAAGGCTTAATGTCTACAAGAAAGTTTAAGTGTTCTACATCTGTCTGCCTAGTTGTTGGTAAACAATCAACTCTTCCTGCTCTAAATAAGAGTTTCAAGTGCAAAACATTCTCTTATGGAGTCTTACCTTCATAATCTCACGCACACCTTTATAGTCCACACCCGTTATTATCTTCCGAATGATGCCAAATGCTGTTATCCAGAAGATATCATTATCAGGGATGAGGTTTTCATCCATAAGAAGGCACAGACAAACCACTCTAGGAAAAAAGTAACAAAACAATGAGTTAAGACATTTATTAGAGCCATACAAGTGTTCAAATTAGTCATATACTGTACTCTACTATCATTTATTTTGGAGGTTTGCTTCTTCATGAAACTATATTCAATTTATTATCATTCTATATTAAGAAGTCATAATTTCAACTTTGCATTGCAAAAATGCCCTTAAACTGCTCACTATTTGTGAAGTAATATTTAATAACGTGCAGAGGGCCATGTATGAAGGAAAATCTGCAAAACAAATACAACAATCCTATGTAACACAGCAACAGAATATTTGTCCTGTACACATAGGCACTTCTAGAAATGGTACATAGTCACGCCAATTAGTGGAAGAGAACAGACTAGCAATGCCAGAATAAGTATTCACCTGGGTCAAGACTGATACACACGACAAAGTATGAGGAGCCAATGAGAGTCGGCAACCACTCTAATAGTGTGGTTTACTATTTACAACCACTCTAAGTTTTACAGGAAACAAAATTACAGAATAGGATACTAGAAGGGCAAGGGGTTTTTAACAGGCTATTCAGTAGGAAAGTGACTTAGAGGGAGAGACAGTGAAAGAAATGATTTGATACATAATCCAGAAATGTACAGAGGATATGAAAATATGTCCCACTCAGGAAGTTGAGAACAAATAACCTATGGTTCAAGAGGCCGTGCCAGGAAGCCAAGGACACAAACAAGTCATGGGAAAGGTATAGTACAAGCAGCAATGCAGTGAGGCAAATAAGGAAGAATTTAAAGAGCCAGAAATGATTTCACAGAACTAGTCAGAAGAAAACATCAAATAATAATATAGTATTATTATTTTGAATAATAAAGAGGGTACCTTCTGTGAAACCCTCACAGAACGGTAACCCTGAGACAGAAACAAAATGTACATACTCCAAGTTTCAGGAGAAACCCAGATAAGAAAGACAAAACCGAAGAGCATGAAGCATAAAAAAATCAATGCAGAAGACACAAAGAATTAAACGTGAGTTAGAACCCCCAACAACCTTTCCCAGATGACTCTTCGGCTCATGAAGGCCAGAAAAATTAACATTACCTGTGCCAGATGCTGTAGATAAAAGCATCTTTCCTAAGGAAAAGAATCAATCCACAAGCTATGCCCCCCAGAGAAATGGAAGGCAGCACAACCTTGGCAGGAAATGTCAGCTTAACTACCTCGGTCACCAAACATGAAAAGGGCAGCCCAAGAAAGCTCAGCATAGTGTTCTCGCCAAGAACACTAAAAAAAAGGGAAACTGGTAGAACACCACAGCAACCTAACCCAGAACAATAACACAAAATGCTCGACTGTGGGCATCCATGTCAGCACAATTCCACAATAAAACAGCCACACAATGGCCACCACTTAGCAGCCCTTGCCCTGGAAAAAGTAAAGTCAATTAAAGGTCAAGTAAAAAGTCACAGCAATCATCTACCCATCCACCACATCTTCCTACCCAACCACCACCATCTCAGTCTCCATGGCCCAGGTATACCCTAAGACTTCCTATTTTCCAACATTAACTTCAATCTGGGGAGACTGATATTTAACCTACTTCGATGAAACTGTGTTGGTAGTAGCAAGATGCGTGAGGGTTGAGGCCACAAACTGAGCACGATGTGTATTGTTCTGCCGAGCCAACACAGACACAATTGTGCTTACTCCTGTCTCTTGAATTCGTGTCGACACCTCCACCGCCCCAGACCTGAAATGAAAAATGTTGACATTTAAATAAATATCAATAAAGTTCAGAAAGCCAAGTGTACTTAGAATAAATTGAGAAACAGCTTTTATAACAATATTATTATTTATTTATGCAATCCAAATTAACACTGGCATTCCGGCATTTCTGCATGTTCCCAACTGTCAACGTCCTGGGCATCCCAAGTCACTCACGGGGGCCATTTAACGATGCAAAATTTTTTTACAATCATCAGGCTTTCTAAGTAATTTCTTGTGGTTATAGCTATATATTTGTTATCAAAATGTTTACAAATGAATTTCCTAGAGAACAGATACAAAAATAAAAGTGAATTTATAATACATTACAAGTGATAGCGGCGAAAATATGAATGTTTATGAATAGCAATCGGAAGTGACGGGTTGTGGTATCGCAGCTATACTGAATCAAGATGGTATGGCTCTCCCGCACATAATGAAAAAAATGCTGCTATTGGCCCTGAAGTGTGTAAGTCGCAGGTGGAAACAAATAAAAATCATCAAATAATTAAACAATTTACTGAAATATTAATGAACATAAATGCCCCTGAAAATACTTGGCTATCATGTAATACAAAAGTGAACAAGTTAGTATGATCTTAAATGTAAAAATAAACTACAGTATAAGCAATGAAGAAAAGCATAAAGATATACTGGTGTATTGAAGACAGCTACCATACCACATGGCATCAATCACACGACGTTGGCTGAAGGCGGATGACGGGTGAGAGACACGAAGGTGATCCTAGAGCACTAAGGGAGAGACTGACTCTCCAGGGAGGCAGCGCCCTTTATATAGTCCTGCGGTGATGACTCGTCCAGTGTCAACAGGAGGTGGACCTCTGGTCAACTAGCAAACTGCTCGTTGTGGCTGGCGGTGCCTTTGTGTTGAGCTGCACCACTGTCAGTTGAAGGCAGCTAACTGCTTGTTTGTGGGGGGCAAATTACCGGTTAGCAGAGGCACCCAGCTTGCCTCTGAGTCGTACCAGGCCGTGCCAGGCCCTGGAGGTTATGGAGAGGTGGCAGGACTGATGACTCATCTGGGCTGGTGTAGATGTATACTTCCAGTGCAGAGGCATTGAAGGTGAAGGGAAAAGGCAGTTCCACTGCTATGCAGGGGATTCATGTGACAAAAGGTGACACCCCTAGGGTCAACACTTGCAGCAGAGGAGCTCCAGCATATTTCAACAATCCTAAGTATTGTAGTACAGGTTGATGGTAGTGAGTGGTGTCCCAGAGAACATAAAGGTATAGTGCTCTTGAAAAATAGGTGAGATAACAGGAAAGTGCTAAGGGAAGTGAAAAATCGGATGAGAAAAAGTTGCCCTAGTGTTTACAGTGCAGAGAAGAACATTCAAGATGGCCACTGGCAAGGGGAAAAACAAAACAGAGCTTGATTTTGAGGGATTCAATGAAGAAAGCATTGATATTAGTAGTCTACATAACAAGTTGGTAAATTTAGATACTATAGTGAACTCTCATGTAGAAATAATTAGTAAATTGAAAGAAAGTAATGACCATTTGAATAGCAAAGTTTTATGTCTTGAGGGTTTAGTGAAAGACTTGCGCAAGGATAAGAATCAATTGGAAACAAATTGCAAAGCCATGGAAGAAGAAAATAAACTCTTAAAAATAGCTTTGGAAGAAGTTAAAGTAAATTTAAACATAAATGACTACAATAGGTTAGGCAAGGAAATTCAACAGGAGAAACAGCTTTTGTCAGCACAGATGGAGGAAGTTACACAGGGAATAGAACAGTGCAAGAAAGATATGCAACTCACTTATGCACAAGTGGCCAAGGAGAAGGAAAAAATAGAAGAAGCAGTAAAGGAAGTCAAACACTGCAGCAACCAAGATAAAACAAACATTAGGCTAGAAGTGAGGAAAGAATTGGCATCTAACCCGAAGTTGGTGCAAAACACAGTTGATCGGAGTAAGTCCCTGATCATTTTTGGCTGCAAAGAAAAGGCGATAACATCTAGGTCAGAAAGAGCTGTAGAAGAAGCTAAAGTAGTAGATAAAATTGTTGGCCTCGTGGAAGGTCTTACAAACAGAGAGAATGTGTGCGACTACAGGAGAATAGGCAGGTACGTAAAAGGGAAAGATCGACCTTTGAGGATCACCCTAAACGGTGCCAAACAGATGGAAGAAGTACTAAGGAATGCTAGAAAATTGCAAAGGGATGAGGATGGGAAAGGGTGGTCATTAAGACGAGATCTTTCAAAAGAAGATAGAGAGAAGCTGAAACTGAACCTCGCCGAGGCAAAACATTTAAATGAGAGCAGGAATGAAGAAGAAATAAATTCTTTTTTCTACAAAGTGATAGGGGTAGGCAAACCAGTAAAGTGGTACATAAAGGCAAACCAACAAAATCAATAGAGAGAGGGGGAGTGAAGAATAAGGAGAGGGGGAACAAGTTCCTGAAGATTGCATACACCAACATAGATGGAGTGAGATCGAAGATACTGGAGTTAAGTGATGTAATACAGCTGCAGACACCAGACATTGTTGCACTCACGGAGACAAAACTTGAAGATGTAATTTTAAATGAGGTCATATTCCCAAGGGGCTACTCAATTTGGAGACGGGACAGAAAAATTAGGAAAGGCGGTGGCGTTGCTGTGCTGGTAAAAGAACACCTAAAGGTGAAGGAAATAATGACTGCCAATCCACAAGAAGTTGACATAATAGCACTAGAGATCTGCTATGAGGATGATAAACTAATGATGATAAATGCATATAGTCCACCGCCAAGCAGCACATGGTCAAAGGAGGAGCTAGATAGTAAACGTGAAGGTCTTATAACAATAATGAGAGAGATTATAGCGAGAGCGGATAACGATAGATCACGACTGTTGATAGTCGGTGACTTCAACTTGAAATCCATAGACTGGGAAGCATATGAAGCTAAAACAGAAGATTTTTGGACCTGTAAATTTGTAGACCTCATCCTGGAAACATTCTTGTATCAACATGTTAAACAAGCTACGAGGATGAGGGAAGGGGACGTTCCCTCCATGCTAGATTTGATATTTACCAGGAAGGAGGAAGAGATATTTGACATTCAGTACCTTCCTCCCTTGGGTAAAAGTGACCATGTCTTTTTGGGAATAAAGTATGCAATGCGTTATAAGCTGGAAGAAAATAAGGAGGTTGAAGCAGTTGAAAAACCAGACTTCAGGAGAGGACATTATGGTGACCTTAGAAATTTTTTTAGTGAGTATAATTGGACAGACTTGATGCTAGGCAAGGAAGTGAATGAGATGTATGGCAAGTTTTGTGAAATATATGATAAAGGCACAAAAAAATTTATACCAAAACAGAGATGCAGAACTAGGAAACAGGATTGGTTCAATAGAAATTGCGAGAGGGCTAGAGACCGAAAGACACAAAAATGGAATCAATACAGGAAGAGGCCGAACCCCCAAACATACCAGCGATACAAAGATGCGAGAAACAACTACACGGCAGTGAGGAGAGAGGCAGAAAGAAATTTTGAAAAAGGGATTGCGGACAAATGTAAAACAGAACCAGGTCTATTCTATAAATTCATAAACAACAAATTGCAGGTAAAGGATAATATTCAGAGGTTGAAAATGGGAAATAGATTCACGGAAGATGAAAAGGAAATGTGTGAAACACTAAACGAAAAGTTCCAAAGTGTGTTTGTACAAAATGAAATCTTTAGGGAACCAGATACAATAAGAATTCCAGAGAACAACATAGAACACATAGAGGTGTCTAGAGACGAAGTGGAAAAAATGCTCAAGGAGCTCGGTAAGAACAAAGCAGCTGGCCCAGATGGCGTTTCACCATGGGTTCTGAGAGAATGTGCATCTGAGCTCAGCATTCCACTTCACCTGATCTTTCAGGCATCCCTGTGTACAGGAATCGTAGCAGACGGGTGGAAACAGGCTAACATAGTTCCAATCTACAAAAGTGGCAGCAGGGAAGACCCCCTCAATTATAGACCTGTATCATTAACAAGTGTAATAGTGAAAGTATTGGAAAAACTAATCAAAACTAAATGGGTAGAACACCTAGAGAGAAATGATATAATATCAGACAGACAGTATGGTTTTCGATCTGGAAGATCCTGTGTATCGAATTTACTCAGTTTCTATGATCGAGCCACAGAGATATTACAGGAAAGAGATGGTTGGGTTGACTGCATCTATCTGGACCTAAAAAAGGCTTTCGACAGAGTTCCACATAAGAGGTTGTTCTGGAAACTGGAAAATATTGGAGGGGTGACAGGTAAGCTTCTATCATGGATGAAAAATTTTCTGACTGATAGAAAAATGAGGGCAGTAATCAGAGGCAATGTATCAGAATGGAGAAATGTCACAAGTGGAGTACCACAGGGTTCAGTTCTTGCACCAGTGATGTTTATTGTGTACATAAATGATCTACCAGTTGGTATACAGAATTATATGAACATGTTTGCTGATGATGCTAAGATAATAGGAAGGATAAGAAATTTAGATGACTGTCATGCCCTTCAAAAAGACCTGGACAAAATAAGTATATGGAGCACCACTTGGCAAATGGAATTTAATGTTAATAAATGTCATGTTATGGAATGTGGAATAGGAGAACATAGACCCCACACAACCTATATATTATGTGAGAAATCTTTAAAGAATTCTGATAAAGAAAGAGATCTAGGAGTGGTTCTAGATAGAAAACTATCACCTGAGGACCACATAAAGAATATTGTGCAAGGAGCCTATGCTATGCTTTCTAACTTCAGAATTGCATTTAAATACATGGATGGCGATATACTAAAGAAATTGTTCATGACTTTTGTTAGGCCAAAGCTAGAATATGCAGCTGTTGTGTGGTGCCCATATCTTAAGAAGCACATCAACAAACTGGAAAAGGTGCAAAGACATGCTACTAAGTGGCTCCCAGAACTGAAGGGCAAGAGCTACGAGGAGAGGTTAGAAGCATTAAATATGCCAAAACTAGAAGACAGAAGAAAAAGAGGTGATATGATCACTACATACAAAATAGTAACAGGAATTGACAAAATCGACAGGGAAGACTTCCTGAGACCTGGAACTTCAAGAACAAGAGGTCATAGATTTAAACTAGCTAAACACAGATGCCGAAGAAATATAAGAAAATTCACCTTCGCAAATAGAGTGGTAGACGGTTGGAACAAGTTAAGTGAGAAGGTGGTGGAGGCCAAGACCGTCAGTAGTTTCAAAGCGTTATATGACAAAGAGTGCTGGGAAGACGGGACACCACGAGCGTAGCTCTCATCCTGTAACTACACTTAGGTAATTACACTTAGGTAATTACATGCAAGTACTGTATTGCCTGAACATACTTGAAGGCTAAACAACAATTTCCCTAAAGCAGAAGCCATGGAGCTTATAAGCAAGCAAGAACAAACTGTTTAAAAAGAGTAACTATGATAAGCAAGGGATAAATTACAGCCATTCCAAAATTATTATTATGCAGTAGTGTATAATCCAGCAGAGATCCAAATAATCTTTCCTTAAATGGAAAAAAAAAATGGTTAAAGATTACCTATGACAAGTAGCTTTGCCAATAAAATTTGTGTTCTGAATATAAGTTTTTTGTTTGGAAAGAAAATTCCTTACATAAGAGAAAATTCTTGGTGGATGAGGTGAAAGTAAACACAGGAGAAGATGCGTTAATAGTGATACTGAATCGAGGAGGGCAGGCTGCCCAAGGTCTCTGTACAAAGCAGCCTACATCTGCAGTGCATTACAGTTACTAATCCTGCTCAGGACCCATCCAATAGGATGGCAGCTTCAAGGTCATGTGCATGCATTACCTACAGTATGCAAACTCTGGATACTTGCCTAGGGTTTCTGGTAGTATATCATAATGAATGAAGTACTTACATATTTCTTGAACAACATTGATAGTTATCTCTGAATTCTGCATTTTGTTTTACACTCAATTACATAATGATGTAAAGAATGTGATTAGTTCTGCTGACAATTTACATTTAGTAAAGTCTACATCAACAGGTCACATCAGTTACTCCATCCATCATCATTCTATTACATGCAAGAACAACCCCCACATCTATGGATCATTTAATACTGTTAGAGACTTCTAGACATTACCAATGCTAGGCTTAGGCTTGGCTAGAAGTACCTCTGTCTGTCAAAAACTTTTTTTGTTAATCAAGTTCAATGTACATCTTATAACTATAGGATTAACTGAAGTTGAAGGATTAAACTAAATATGTACAGAAACTAACTTGGTTGTTTCTGTGGTTTTCTGCCCTGCTCCTTGTTGGCCATCTTGTCCAGCATTTGCTATGCTTGCAGCTTCTGTGGATGCCTCAGTCAACACCCGCTGCAGGTCACTACATACGTTGGTGAGGCGGGTAGATTCTTTTTCTGTTTTAGGTACTACCAGCAAATTTACTAAAGCCTCATGAAGGGCATCCACTTTCTGAAACCAGAAAATAAAATCCATAATTGTCAGCTCTAACAATGCTTTAATCATTTTTCTTCAATCCTGTAACTGGATTCACACATAACTACACTGCACTCTACAGTTCCACGTTTACTTTCACCAAACAGTTAAATTCAACTATTAAATTCTTCAAGTACAATAACAATTCAACCCATTCTCCTATTTAGATAGCAGTTTTTGTAACTATGTGCACCATAGTACAAAGATTGCCGTTCTAAGCAATTAAATCGTACAGCTTTGTATTATTCACTTTAGAGCTGGAAAAAATGAAACTAAAAAACAAACTTAAATCGCTGTATGTCGGTATATCTACTATGGTACTCATCATTACCGTAAGTACTACCAAAACAGGAGGATGGGCAAACAATTTCATAAACAGATTCAAAATGAAGTCAAAGTTCATAGTTCTTGAATTTGCCTAAATTTACCCGAGGGCCACTAACACACTAGTGACCTCAACGAGAATAGGAAGCTGCAGCTTATCAAAGATAGACCCTCCACCCTTCCCAAGATGATTTTTTCCATATGGATTATAAAATTTAACCGTTTTGGCATTTGTAGCTTTGGCAGGTAGGCAGTTTCATGGGTTTATAAACCTGTAGGTGAAAAAGCAGCAGCTGTTTTCAGTCCTACACTGTGGCTTGAAACCACTGTTCCTTATTTGTGTTACATCTGACCTTTTGAAAATACTGTCTGGATCAACATCCTCCAAACTGTTCAGTATTTTAAAGGTGTCAATGAGATCTGCTCTTTCATGCCTGGTATGTAGTGTTGTTAGCCCTGAGGCCATCAACCATTCCTGGTACAAGAGTTGACTTAATTCTGGAATGAGTTTTATCGCTGAGAGATGCACTTTCTCCAAAGCAGCATACCCTTCAAAAGATGAGGTCTATGCATGGATACAGTAATCCAAGTGGGGTCACACCAAGAGATTTATACAGTTGAATCGCTGGCTTTTCTTTCTTAAAGTCAAAGGTACACTTTATTATTCCTAGGGGTATGTTTTTTTTTTTTTACTGTTGCTCCTACCTCTTGTACAACTTTCACTGAATGGTACATTTTGACTCTAAGGTCCTTTTCTTCATCAATCTGCTGTAATGGAATGTTATTAATTTGGTAGTGGTGGTGTGGGTTGCTAAGCCACAAATGCAAGATCTTGCGTTTGTTAATATTTGTGCATTTTGGTGCCTCCCCCCCACCTGGATTATTGCATATAGGCTTGGAGACCTCATCTTCAGAAAGACATACTGTAGTCTCTTTGCAGTCTCCATGGCGTAGCGGTAAGATGCTCGCCTGGCATTCCGCGAGCGCTTTGTCCTGGATTCGTATCCTGGCCAGGGAGGATTTACTGGCGCAAATCCTTAACTGTAGCCTCTGTTTAACTCAACAGTAAAATGGGCACTTGGTTGTAAAAATGATTCTTCACAGGGAGTCGTATTCCAGGGCACATAGGATTAAGGACTTGCCCGAAACGCTACACATACTAGTGGCTGTACAAGAATGTAAGAACTCTTTTACTGTACAGTATATATAAATAAAATAAATAAATAAATAAACAAACAAGCATATCTGCTCTGGAGAAGGTGCAACACCAGGCTGTTACGGACCCGAATCCAGCGTCCAAGCACGGAGCAGTGACGACCGCGCCATCTGTGGGTCAGCTCCCGAAACCCCCTCCAAATGGACGACGCCATCTAGTGAGGACAGGATATACCAGCCACGGGGGCTGGTTTCCCGTCCTGATCAGCTCGTAACGTAGCCGCTGCTGACCTCTGGTGAGGTGACGCTTAGACAGCAACGCCATCTATGGAGTGGATAGGTGGGCATTTGTGTCTAAGCCTGTGAGTGAGGTGCCCTAGAGTGTAACCAGTACTGATGACGTGTCTGATTACAGAGTCGACCTGGGACTGCTGAATCGGACGGTGGATCAGTCTACCCAAGGCAGCCGTAGAACCTCCACGCATCTGCTGCTGAAGCTGTGAGTCACCCCCTGGATGAACACTGTTGTGTTAGCCTGCCTGTGACGTGGCAGTTGAGGAATTGTCGTACCCGGGGCTGACTGGTGGAGAAGACTAGCCACTGGGGTGTTGTGGTGAGGAGTGATCTGTGGAATCACACGAGGCTCCTGCCTAGGGCTCGCAACCCTAGTATCGGTCGTGGAGTGGCCTAACCAGCGGAACTGATTGGAACCTGCCAGCTACAGGCTGGATTTGTGGTTGAAGGCCTCTACGACGGTGCACCCAGTGGAACTGTGATTTGGCTGGCCTGTGGCCAGGGTAGACTCGAGAGAATCGAAGGATTCAACGTGAGGCCACGAGAAGAGGATCAAGGGCTAAGCATCGTTGAGCACCGTGGAGCATCCCGTGCAACCCCGCTTGTGACTGTTTATGTAGTTATTTATGGTGATGGAATAATTATATATTTAAGTTTAAGTGCAGTTTTATCCCTTCCCCTTTAATTTACTTGCGTTACGGAACGCACCCCTTGAAAGCCACTACAGTACTAGCTTGGGGCCGGATACCCAAACTCTACTAACATCAGAGAAAGAACCCAGTTGCGACCCAATAGGGCCGTAACACAGGCAACTAAAATCATTCCAGAGCCAAGTCATCTCTCATATCAGGAACGGTTGAAGGCCACAGAGCCAACAACACTGCAAACCAGGCATGACAGGGCAGATCTCATAAAAACCTTTAAAATAATGAACAATTTGGAGGATGTTGATTCGGACAATTTCTTCAAAACGTCAGATGTAATGCGAATGAGGAGCAATGGTTTCAAGCTCAACAAACCGCAATGTACGACTGAAAAAACAGAAGATACTTTTTCACCCATAGGGTAAAAACCCATGGAATCGCGTACCTGCCGAAGCCGTAAATGCCAAAACTGTGTTGGGTTTTAAAATAATTTTTTTTATTGATTTATTTTTTATTTATACAAGAGTTCTTACATTCTTGTACAGCCACTAGCACGCATAGCGTTTCGGGCAAGTCCTTAATCCTAATATTCCCCGGAATACGACCCCACCAAATCGTTTAACAACTAGGTACCCATTTTACTGTTGGGTAAACAGAGGCTACAGTTAAGGACTGACACCCAGTAAATCCTCCCCGGCCATGATACAAACCCAGGACAAAGTGCTCGCGAAATGCCAGGCTAGCGTCTTACCACTACGCCATGGGAACTGCATAACTGGAACAAATGGAAAAGATCATAAGGGCAAATGCCAGGGGGGGGGGGCCTTTGACAAGCTGCCGGCTTCCTGTCCTCGTTGAGGCCACTAGTATTAGTGGCCCTGATGTAAATTCAGGTAAATATTAAAAAGCATTTGCCAGTCTTCTGACCATTTGTGGAGTTCATGTAGATCTCTTTGTAGGGCACCAATATCATTATGATGTCCCACTGTACCATATATCTTTGTGTCATCTGCAAATTTGATGATGTGATTTGTAATATTATCATCTATATGTTTTATGTAAATGACAAAGAGGGCTGGCTCCAAAATGGACCCGAGGTACCCCTTACCACAATTCTCCAGTCAGAATCGGACCCATTTAGTACGACCCTTTGTTTTCTTTGTTTCAACCATTGTTTTATCCTTTCTAATATTCTAGCATTTATTCCACGAGCCTGTAATTTCCATGTCAGTCTTTCATGTAGTACCTTATCAAATGCTTCAGCAAAATCCGTATACAGTATACTGCATCTACCAGAAGTCCACTGTCTGAGAAGCTGGTTACAGTTTCCAAAAATGTGAGCAGGTTTGTAAGGCAGGATCTATTTTTAACTAACCCATGTTGTGTCGATTTTACAAGATTGTTCATAGAAAGATGGTGAATGATTCCCTCCCTTATGATTCTCTCTATTAGCTTGCAGATGTGTGATAAGCTGATTGGACAGTAATTTTCTGCCGAGATCTTTCTGCCTTTTCTTGAAAATAGGGGTGACATTTGCATATTTTCAATCTAGGGGGACTATCCCTTGGTCCAGAGATTTTGTGGAAAGTAATTTCAGTGGTAGAAATATTTCTTCTGCCAGTTCCATCAGAGCTTTGGATTGGATTCCATCCACACATAGGGCTTTTGAGTCTTAGTTTGTCAATGTTCTTCCTGATTATGTTGCATGTTATGGGTATACTGTATCCCCCTAAAGTCATTCTCTTCACATCCTTCAAACATTTGTGTGGGTGATGGAATGTCCTCTAACCATTCAAGTGAATACTAATGTAAAATATTAATTCGATGTCTTTGCTGCCCTTTTATCATTCATTATAACTTTGTTAGTCTCATCTTTCAAGGGTCCTACCGAGTCCTTTTAGTTTTTCTTTTTATTTACTTCATAAAACAATTTTGGATCTTTCTTTATGTTTTGGGCAATTTCCTTTCATGGTTTCATTTGATTGATCCGATTCCTTGGGTGGCCGAGCTTAGTGCCCAATTTGTACATCTTGTAATGTCATCCATTGTGGATTTATACGTTCTCCAGAGGTTCCGCTTAGTTGTCGGTGCTTAATTTACAACCTGTGTCATCCAACTAGTTCCCTTTCTTTTCTTTTCTTTCTCCTTTTTAGGCACATATTTTTTAACGAGTTCCGTGATGGGTTGATAGTCTCCGCAATGGTAATCTAGAAATTCATAGTCTCTGACCTTTGTGTGGGTTATCTATGTTCGTTGTCCATCTTAAAATATGGTGATCCTTGCGAGGTTAGCTTTCCCCCCCACCTGAATTTGTTCAATCATGCCCTCTTCTGATGTCAGCCCAAGATCTAGAATGCTGTTACCTTGTGTGGGCTATACCACATGCTGTATGAGAAATGAGTCCTGTACCAGATTGAGAAATTATTGTTCTTTTGCTTGTGTTAGATTTACCCAATCTATGGTCTCATGGTTAAAGTCCCCCATTATTAGAGTTTGGGTTTCTAGTGCCACACTGATTACATTATGCAGATCCGCAACTTCCTCTGCTGCTGCTATGTCAGCCCTGTAGCATACTGTAGACGGAAAACAGAAGATGCTTTTTCACCCATAGGGTTGTAAACCCATTGAACCACCTGCCCGCTGAAGCTGTAAATGCCAAAACTCTACTGGGTTTTAATATACAGATAGAAAAGATCATCAGTGCATATGGGGGGGACCTTTGACAAGCCGCCAGCTTCCTGTCCTCGCCAAGACCACTAGGGTTAGTGCCCTCAGGTAAATCAGGTAAAAGTCTACAGGTTTCCCAAAACTGACATGAGAAACCAAGATTCTGAATCTTACTACAGTACTTGTATTCACCTAGTTGTGCTTGCAGGGGTTGAGCTCTGCTCTTTAGGCCCGCCTCTCAACTGTCAATCAATTCCCCCCCCCCCCCCCCCCACACACACACACCCAGGAAGCAGCCCATAATAGCTGTCTAACTCCCAGGTACCTATTTACTGCTAGGTAAAAGGAGCATCAGGGTGAAAGAAACTCTGCCCATTTGTTTCTGCCATTGTCGGGGATCGAACCCGGACCCTAGGATCATGTGTCCAGAGCACTGTCTATTCAGCCACAGGCCACTGTATACATTTCCTGTTTTTGGGGAGAGTCCGTCTCATTACCCAAAGCTACTCAAAGCTTCCTAACATTACGTTAGTAATGAATAAATCTGATATATTTATTCACTATAATGTTGGTGCTGAATGTAGAACATGAAAAAAACATTTTTACTCTGAAATATAAGTTTATAATGAAATTAGACGAAAGTAAGTGGCATGAGAGGCCATAGGAAGTCGATGATCCAAGCGACAGTTTTGTGGAGCGACTTATCCAAGACACATTGTTGCCTGAAGAGTGTTTGCTGGCATATCAGCCCCCTGTACCTACCTAACCTAACCAACCTAATGAAACCTAACCTAACAAAACCTAACTAAAACCTAACCTACCCAAACCTAACTTAATATAACCTGTACACAACAATATATCTTGGATAAGTTGTTCCACAACATTGTTGCTTGGATCGTCGACTTCCTATGGCCCCTTATGCCACTTACTTTCATCTACTTTCGTTATAACTTATATTTCAGAGTAAAAATGTTTAATTCATGTTCTACCTTCAACACCAACATTATAGTGAGTAAATATATCATATTTCTTCATTACTTATGTAATACAAGGAAACTTTGGGTAGCTTCGAGAAGATTTGGGTAGCTTTGGGTAATTAGACGGACTGGTTGGGGGACAGGAAACGTGTACCTGGGCCAACTACTGACCTTCCCCAGGATGCAACACAAAACAAATTCAAAATTCCAATTCCAATTCAAATGTTTATTCAGGTAAAGTACATACATACAAGGTGTGATACAAACATTGATGGATTTATAGATAAAGCTAGTACATACAATGCCTAAAGCCACTATGACGCAAAGCGTTTCGGGCAGGAAAAACACTAGACTAAAACTTAATACTAATTGAGATTAAAGTATAAAATGTGTTGAGAACATATAAAAATAAAAAAGGGGGAACATGGCAGAAAAATAGCAAAAATACAATTTGGTTAGGCAAAACAGTTGCCTAACTCCTGGGTACATATTTACTGCTAAGTGAACAGATGAATCAGGTGAAAGGTTAAGATGCCCGACAGTTCCTGAACCTGGGACGCTCGTGAGCCAAAGCCTAGACCACTGTGCTACAAGTGATACCAATACTTAATATTGTGATATTCTGTGAACTGAGTCACATGCTATACTGCAACTAGTCTTGAAATCCTTTAAGGAGCCAATACTAGCTACCGTATTATAACATGACGTAATAACTGTACTGCTTCCATAGCCATATGATGCAATTAACGCAAAGTAAACATAGCCAGTAACTATGTACAGTACCTCATATTAATAAACATTACCAGATGAACGCCCAAACATCAATAAAGTACAACCTTGTGGTGTTATCACCGCTAAGTTTCTCACCAGGATGTCGGCCAGGACCTCGTTGATCCGGCCCTCCGTCATGAGAGCAGAGTCCTCCATTATAGAGGCCCTTCACTCATTATTCTCAGGAGCACAAGTGAGCCTGCGCGTCTTGGTGCAGGTGGCTCCCGGGGGTCACAGCCTCGCCTCTCTTGTTTACACCACACGCCGCCAACGTTGCCACATGCTGAAAGTAGCGAGCTGACGCTCTAAAAGTAGCGAATTTGGAGTTAAAAGCAGCCCAATATTTTGTTTTGATCAAATCAAATCAAAGCAAATTTTCATTCAGGTAAAAGTATATACATAGAGGATTAGTTACAAACAAAAATGTTGGATTTATAGATAGAGCTAGTACATACAATACCTAAAGCCACTATTACGCATATAGCGTTTCGGGCAAGGGATGGTGGGGAAAAAACCACTTAGACTAAAACTTAATAGTAATTGAGCTTAAAGTATAAATTGCGTTGAAAGAAAAAAATAAAAGATAAAAAAGGGGGGAACGTGGTAGAAAATAGCCAATATACAAGTTGGTCAACAAACAGCATTGTTTAAAAATAGTAAGATATGGGTTGACATTTAGGGGATAAGGTAGGTTACATGGAGTTAATTAGATAGTACTTAGTTTTCATCTTAAACTGGTTGAGAGAGGTACAGCCTTTGACATGATTGGGAAGGTCATTCCACATTCTGGATCCCTTGATTTGTAGAGCATTTCTAGTTTGATTAAGTCGTACTCTTGGAATATCAAACAGGTATTTGTTTCTGATGTGGTGCCCATGGGTTCTGTTACAACCTTCTAAGAAGCTTTTAAGGTCAAGATTGACATTACAATTCAGAGTTTTAAATATATATAATACACATGAGAGCATGTGCAGTGACTTAATATCTAACATATTCAGAGATTTGAGTAAGGGTATCGAGTGTTGTATGGGGCCAGAGTTAGATATTGTTCTAATAGAAGCTTTGTGTTGGGTAATTAGAGGACGTAAATGATTTTGGGTAGTAGAACCACAAGCACAAATACCATAGTTGAGATAAGGATAGATGAGGGAGTAATAGAGCGTCACCAGGGCAGGGCGAGGTACATAATATCTGATCTTAGAAAGAATGCCAACAGTTTTAGAAACTTTTTTTTGCTATATTTAGAATGTGTCCCTGGAAATTCAGCTTGTTATCGATGAGGACACCAAAAAATTTACCATCAACTTTACTACTGATTTGTATATTGTTTATTCTTAGATTAATTTCATTTGAGGATTTATTACCAAACAAAATATAGAAAGTTTTGTCAATGTTAAGGGTGAGTTTGTTAGCAGTTAACCAAAGATGGACTTTATTTAGTTCAGTATTCACAGTGACATTTAGAGCAAGCGGGTCAGGACTGGAGTTAGTTTAGTTCATTTATTATGCACCCCATACCCATCTTGTGGGCGGTAGTGGAAAGGGTTATTTTATGTGCTAGCCATAAGCTGTATTGTGCCTACCATTTTTTATCAACTACCATTAAAGCTGCCATTGCAATCAGTCTGAGCCACCTATGTGCTTTAATATACCTACAATTTTCTCTCATCCTTTATTATTTTCTTGCCTTGTAACTGTTATCATTTTTTATAAATTTTGCAAGTACTTACCTACTTAATTTTTTTTTTTATTTAAGGACCTGCCCGAAACGCTGCGCGTACTAGTGGCTTTACAAGAGTGTAATTACTATATTATGTATTCCTCACAATCCCAATGTACCTTCTTGTATATGTATAAATAAATAAATAAAATAAATAAATAAATAAATAAATAAATAAATAAATGAAGTTGAATTTGATGATTTGCTACCAAATAAAACGTAGTGTGCTTTCCATGTTTAGTGTGAGGTTTGTTGGTTGACATCCTAGAGTGGAGATTTTAAAATTCATTATTGACAATATTATTTAGTGTGGGGGGGGGAGTCAGAATAGATGAAGGTAGTAGTGTCGTCAACAAATAGCATACGTTTAAGAACGTTAGAAACATTTGGCAGGTCATTGATGTATATAAGAAAAAGGAAAGGTCCTAAGATACTGTCTTGTGGCACTCCCACTGTTAATGGTAGAGTGGGGGAGGTTATTTTTTACCTGAGGGCCATTAACCCTAGTGGCCTCGACGAGGACACGAACCCGGCGGCTTGTCGAAGGTCCCCCCCAATTACCTTGATATTTTCCAGGTATATAATAGAAGACTATCCACAGAAGACTACCGTCCTACCGTCTGACACTGTTGAGTGCTCGCTGCGTTCCTCACTCTAAGCTGTATTTCAGCCCTCTAACTACCCCAAGATAAGGTAGAACACCACCTACAGGCAGCTATAAGTACATGGAGTCCAAGCATGTCATAACACATCGAAAGTAACCAACTCGATTAACTCATTCATCTACACTCCACTGATGTGACTGAATTTAACTCAAACCTTAGAAATCTTATACTAGAGAACCGACTGAACAAAAACCACTTAATTATTTCTGGTGACTTTAACATTGACCTCTGCGAGCCTGATAACCCTCCTGCTGCTAGTTTCCTCAACTGTATGAATTCCTGCTTCCTCATACCCTTAATCACTAGACCTACTAGAATCACTGACAGTACTGCCACGGCTCTTGATCACATCTGGACCACCATAACCTCTCCACTTACTTCAGGGATAATCATCGATAGCACTACAGACCATTACCCCACATTTCTCCTAACCAACATTAACAAACCACCTCTAGAGGCAAGGGAGTTAAGCTTTAGGCTGCACAATGAAACTGCTATAGGCAATTTTATAGCTGCTGCTGCTAATATCAACTGGGAATCTGAATTAGGGAACATAAGGGACATCAACCTAGCAGTGCAATCATTTCTTCAAAAAACTCTCAGCCTTTATAACACCCACTGTCCTATGCTAAAGAAACAAGTCACAACTAAAAGGCTAAACAATCCTTGGCTTACAAAGGGGATACTTAAATCCATTAATAAAAAACATGACCTTGAGAAGAAGTATAGGTTAGGAATCGTCTCCAAAGAATTCTCAAAAAATTACTCATCATTGCTATCTAAAATAATTAGGAGAGCCAAAATTAAATACTAAGAAGACAAATTTACCCACACAAAGGGCAACATTAAGAAAACATGGAGCACAATTTCTCAAATATTGGGATCAAAGAAGATTATATATAATAAACCAATACTCCTGTCAAATAATGATGGTCTGCTTTCAGCCTCTGACACTGCTCTTGAGTTCAATAGGTTCTTCTCTTCCATTGGGTCATCCCTTGCAAATGATATTCCATCGTCCAGTACTAATATTCAGGACTATCTTACTGGAAACTATCCACAGTCTCTGTACCTAATGCCTACTAATTCCACTGATGTTACTGACATAATCCTTTCCCTTAAAACCAAGTCTAGTGCCCTTGAGGAGATACCAACTCTTATTTACAAAAAAGCCTCCAGATTTTTAGCTCCTGCTATTGCATTGCTCTTCAACAAGTAAACCTTTCCAGATATTCTAAAAAAAAAGCGAGAGTAACCCCTGTCCACAAATGTGGTGATCCCACTGATGTTAACAACTTCAGACCTATATCAATTCTGCCAAACTTATCAAAAATATTTGAAAAACTAATCTATAAGCAACTTTACTCTTATCTAGCCAAACTCAATATACTTAGCTCTTGTCAATATGACTTCAGACCCCAAAAAAGCACTAACGATGCACTTATTAGTATGATTAACTTGATACATGCAGCTCTTGATAAAAATGAGTTCCCTGTTGGGTTATTTGTAGACCTGCGTAAGGCTTTTGACACTGTTAACCACCAAAACCTTCTTCTTAAATTACAACATTATGGAGTCAGAGATCACTCCCTGCAGTACATTAAGTCTTACCTTACTGACAGGCTCCAGTATGTTTCTGTGAATAATTCAATTTCTCCCACCCTACCCATCAACATTGGTGTTTCACAGGGCAGCATACTTGGCCCTCTCCTCTTTCTCATCTACATTAATGACCTTCCAAATGCCTCCCAATATCTCAAACCAAATCTATTTGCTGACGATACGACCTTCATTTACTCCAGTCCTGACCCCCTTGCTCTAAATGTCACAGTGAATACTGAGCTAACTAAAGTCCATCACTGGCTAACTGCCAACGAACTCACTCTCAATATTGACAAAACTTTCTATATTTTGTTTGGCAATAAATCCTCAAATCAAATAAATCTCAGGATTAACAATACCCAAATTTGTAACAAAGTAGATGGCAAATTCCTTGGCGTTCTCATTGACCACAAGCTAAATTTCCAGCGACACATTCTAAATATAGCAAAAAAAGTTTCGAAAACTTTTGGCATTCTTTCTAAGATCAGATATTATGTACCTCGCCCTACCCTGGTGACACTCTATTATTCTCTCATCTATCCTTATCTCAACTATGGTATTTGTGCTTGGGGTTCTACTACCCAAAATCATTTACGTCCTCTAATTACTCAACACAAAGCTGCTGTTAGGACAATATCCAACTCTAGCCCCAGCCATCACTCGGTACCCCTACTCAAATCTCTGAATATGTTAGATATTAAGTCCCTGCACATCCTCTCATGTGTATTATATATATATAAAACGCTGAACTGTAATGTCAATCCTGACCTTAAAAGCTTCCTAGAAGGTTGTAACAGATATCCCATGAGCACCACACTAGAAACTAATACCTATTTGATATTCCAAGAGTACGGCTTAGTCAAACTAGAAATGCTTTACAAATCAAGGGACCTCGAATGTGGAATGACCTTCCCAATTATGTTAAGGATATCAGGACAAGTATGACACTCTAGATATTTGTTGAAGAATAGCAGAGCTATGGGTAGTGCACGAGCAGGAGCAGCACTCTTATATATCATAGCTAGTAGGTCATTAATGTTACCAGCTTCGGTTTTAAGTGATTGAATTATAGATATAATGTGTGTCGGGCTGACTGGTAAAAGGAGTAGAGGGTTAGAACAGCTGCCGGTGAGATATTTAGTAAGATGTGTTTGGGTCTCTGGGATTTTTCTGGTAAGGTTAGCACCAATTGATGAAAAGAACCTGTTAAATTCGGCTGCAATTTCTAAGTCTGTTGCAAGTGTGTAACCATCTTTGGAGAGTTTTATCTGCTTGTTATGTGATTGTTGTTTAGATCCTAGGATGTTAGACATGGCTTTCCATGTATTTTTCATATTTCCTTTTGTTTCTTTAAATCTATTCTCATAAAAGGAAACTTTGGCTCTTCGTATTATATTGGTAAGCACTGACGAGTATCTCTTAACTTCTTCATTTGAAACTAGGCCAATCCTATGTTTTTTCATATTTATGTTTCTTATTAATTGATTTAAGTACGCCACTTGGGAGCCAAGGGTTGTTTAATCTTTTGGCAGTTACTTGTTTAGTGAGGAGAGGACAGGTGTGTGTTGTAGAGGCTGTGAGTTTTGGAGAGAAAGATGTCGACTAATGAATATATATCCTGTTGAGTTGAGTATTGTTAAGTTCAGATTCCCAGTTTACATTGTGAAGTGCATTTATGAGGTTCTCTATTGCTGGTTTGTTGTGTAGTCTACAGGTAAGTTTATTGGTAATCCTCAGGAGTATTGTGAGGGACTTTTAACATGTCACCGGCTTCCTGTCCCCGTCGAGGCCACCAGATAAGGTACCCTTCGGGTAAATAATACATATATTTGTGGTAATGTTGGTTAAAACAGTTAGATGTATAAGACAATACAAATTTATAGCAATTATTTTTATTATATCATAATAAAAATCAGTATAAAAATATATTAAAGTAACAGCATTAACAGTGACCCAATATGCGGGAGTTCACAATGTACAAAAATGAGGAAATGTGCGACTAGAGAAGAGTAAAGATGAGGCGAGTAAAGGGCATGATCAGATGAATATTATACATTTTAAGATTTATATGTTGAGATGTATGTATATATATATATATATATATATATATATATATATATATATATATATATATATATATATATATATATATATATATATATATTTAAGATGGACATGTTGAGGGGTGAAGTGATGATGATAGTGGTTGACAAGGTTGACGAGGTAACTTCAGGTTTACAAAACTCAACTGCTGGTGATGTTCGCGTCTGAGTTTCAGATCTCTCTCCCAGCTGCTTGAGTTGGAGCTTCACTGTAACTTTACGTGAGTTCTGAGAGCTGTGATGACGTTGGCAGCAACTTTCTTGCTGGTGCGCACCAGGAGACGCATGAGGGCTCTGAGGGCTGACCACAGCAGCAGGAGCAGCAGAACAGCGACGGTCACCAGGACACCTGCCACATCGAGCAGCAAGTATTGGTAGAGTGGCATGTCGACTGCCGCCGACCTCAGGTGTTGACCGCCTCCGAACCGCAAGATGTGCTCGGTCCAGTAGACAGCTCTGTCCAGGGGTAGTGAGTCTTGGTGACGGAGCAGCTGTGACCTCTCCTCCACCCTCCTGCGGTAGTCTTCCTTCTCCACAACGCTCCTGATGGCCTGGTAAACTGCTTTCTCTGTCAGTGTCTCCAGCGTCAGCCCAACGCCCAAGCCCAAAGTCACTGCCTGACGCACGTTGAGAGGCTGGTCACTCATGAGGGGCAGTCCCACTATGGGCACGTTATGGTAGACGGCTTCCTGCAGGGACAGCAGACCTCCATGCGTCAGGAAGGCGCGCACGCGTTCGTGTCCCAGCACGTCCTGCTGTGGCAGCCATGCCCGGGTCATGACATTGGACGGCAGGTCAGCAATGGCGCCGCCCTCCCACTTCCACACTATCCGGTAGGGAAGGCGGCCAAACGCTGCCACCAGCGAGTGAAGAACTGCGGCAGGAAGTTGTTCACTGCGGATGTGGGAGCCAAGACTGAAGAGCACCACTGGCACTGGTGACGAGTCCAGGAAGTGACGCAGCTGGGCATCCTGTAGTGGACGAGCTGGGCGGCAGTGCATGGCACCCACCTCTACCACGTTGGGCATGAGGGGGCGCGGATGCCCCAGAGAGTAATGAGAGTTAACCATCACCAGCGACACATTCTTCTCCACCTCCGTCAGCGACACCGTCGGGTCTCCCAGAAACCTCTGTACAACACCGTCCAGTCTGTTCAACACCAGTTGTCTCCGCAGGTAAGGACTCACCAACCTGTTAACGACAAGAGAACACGTGTTAGTCTTAATTGTGTCGGAGCTTTGTGTATATTACTATATTGTATAGCACTTGTATATATCACTGTATGGTATAGCACTGTTGTATGGTCATTGTGGAGTGTATGATGGAGAATTGCGTGTATAACTGTGGTGTGTGTAATGGAGGTGTATGGGTGTATGGAGGATGACTGTGGAGTGTATGATAAATTAGTGTGTGCAGGAGACAGGAGCCACAACTCACCTGACGATGGTGTTGAAGGTTCGCTCCCAGAGACTCATGTGGGCGCCGTAGCTGAGGTACTGGTTGGGGATGTAGGCAGGATTCTCCGGGTTTCCCAGCAGGTCTGCTGTCCATGGTGTCAGGCCGGACGTGGTCACGTAGATGAACGGCGCCTTGAACTTGTGTACCAGGGCCAGTCCGCACTCGTTCATGAATGCCGGCAGGAGGATTAGGTCTGGCTTGGTGGCCCATGCGCTCTGTACGCCAGAATCACGCAGAAAGGCGTCGCAGTACTCCGGCAGGTTACGCACAATCTTCTTCATCACTTCGGAGTTCACATCTCTGCCACCACTGGCTTCCCGCATCTTGAAGACATCGAAGCCGCCCGTCACTTTACGGATGGTTTCCCAGGCGTCTGCGGCCACCAGGTCGGTGTAAGAGCGTGAAGAATTAGCGGCGGAAGAAGCGTGAAGAGACGCAATGACGACATCGTGGCCTCGGGCGCCGAGAGCCTCAGCCAGCGGTGTTAATATGTTCTTGTGGGAAGCAGAGCCCAAGGGCAGCACCATCAGCACCCGCGACCCTCCACACACACCCGTCAGCAACGCTAAGCAAACTAGCAATTTCATTATCCAAGCACTGATTCTTTGATTTGTTTTAAACGCTGTAACTTCTGTAGTGATAACGCAGCTTACTTCTCTCGAGTTTATAAGAAGTGTTCACAAGCTTGATCTGAGGGGCCCACCCTCCTCCAGTCCTTATATATCACTGGAGGCGAGTTGGCCACGACTCACATGATTTAATGGGTCAAGTGCTCTTGTTTCAAGTGTCATACCTCAGCACGCTAGTAATTTCAAGCCAGTTTTCCTGCTCAGATCGAGGAGTGGGAGACGGAGCGCCCAACCAGGAAATAAGGGAATAAATGTGTAATCTGCTACTTCAAGTGTAGGTCTTAGAACTGATAAAACAGTATAAGGACCTTGAGAGTCGGGTGGATGGGGGGGGGGGGGGAGGGGGGAGGACTGGCCTCTGCAGCAAAGATTATAGCAAAAATAATAATAATTGTTGCATTTAATAATGATCACTCTTCCTTCTGCTTGGTCTTGAAGGAAGCGGGCCTCGGGTGAAAGAGGGCTGTGACGATCTCTGTCTGGAACTATTTGGTTATTTGAATCACCATCCCGACGGCACTTTGATGGTAATTTTGGGCATAGCTATTTCATCAAATCACCTCATTTTTGTGGGGCCATGTGAGCCTGTGATGAAGTAGATTTTGTGATGAAATAACTATGCCCAAGATTACCATCACAGTGCCGTCGGGATGGTGGTTCAAATAGCCTCGGCTATCACCATTTTTTGTACGGTCACTGATGGTCGAGTGGTTTAAGGCACCGTATACATTGTTGTGTGTTGACAACAATAGAAAGATGTAAGAAGGGAGAAGGTGGAAGGCAGCATATAGGAGAGGGGAATACCAGAGGTCAGAGTATTCCTGGGGAGGAAAGAATAGGAAAGAGAACGCAGAGACAAATCAACACAGGACATGATGACTACGTAACGGACAAACTCATAGAAGATGAAGAAAGATTTATACCACCACTAAGGATTAAGGGAAGCAAGACGAGTCCATGGTTCAACACTCTGGAAGCAAGAGAACATGGAAGAAAAATAGAGAACACAGAATAGAAGGAAATCACAATGTATACACAAGTCAGAAATGAGTACACAGAAACTAGGAGAGTTGTGTGTACTCATGAGTTTCTAAAAATGAGTACACAGAGAAGCTGTACGAGAATGACATTGTATAAAAGGTTAGATCCCAGCCAAAACTGTTCTATAGTTGTATGTGGAGAAATGTGACTGAACGATCAGGTTATCAGACTTGACAAAAGTGAGGGAGAACATACTGAAAATGATAAGACGGTATGTGAGGAACTTAATAAAGGCTTTCAGGAAGTATTCAAGCTGGAACCAGATTTGTCACTGGAGCATAGCAACCCATCCTCCAGTTTAGATAGTACCTATTGTGACAATCGTCAGTAGTCAGAATTCTTACGTTCGAACGGGAAATTCCACAGGAAAGCCTCACTGATATAACAGATATTTGATGTGATAAAAGCCGAAGGGTAAGACAAAATATCGCCAGGGATACTAAAAGAGGCAGCTGAAGCATTGTGCAGCCCACTTGCCATAATATTTAATTAATCTTTAGAAACTGGAGAGCTTCCTGGCTGTTGGAAAATGACTAATGCGGCACCAATCTACAAAAAAGGTAAAGACAGAAACCGTTAAACTACAGACCCGTATCACTAACAGGTATTCCTGCAATTTGCTAGAGACTTCCGAAGCAGGCTAGTAGAACATTTAGAAGCGATTAATTGTCTCGAGGCACTAGTACGGTTTTAGTACAGGGAAATCGTGCTTGACGAACTTACTGGACTTCTACAACAAGATGACAGAAACCAAACAAGAGAAAGAGGGACGGGCAGACTGCATATTTCTCGACTGTCAGAAGGCATTCGCTACGGTCCCGCATGAAAGACACCTCCTTAAGCTAGAGAAGCAGGCTTGGGTATCTGGAAGCGTCCTTAGGTGAGTCGGAGAGTATATCACAGGAAGGAAGTAAACGGTTACAGTGAGAGCAGACAGAGGCGTGGAGAGAGGTTACGAGTTGAGTACCACAAGGGTTGATTCTAGGGCCCATCCTGTTTCTGATTTATGTCAACGACCTGACAGAGTAAATTGGCTCCTTCATTTCAATGTTTGCAGAGGAAACAAAACTGGTGAGAAAGGTCAGGACAGGGATAGATTGTGATGAATTGCAAGAGGATTTGAACACACTCCAGAAGTGGCTTAAAAAATGGCTGTTAGAGTTTAACCCAGCCAAATGCAAAGTTATGAGGACTGGAACCGGAGTGCGAAGACCATCACAGCAATATAGGACGAAGGGAAGACAGAATCTTCAATCAGAAAAGAAAAAAGACCTGGTAGTGGACATGACCCCAAGTGTGATGCCAGAAGCCCACATTATGATGCCAGAAGCCCACATTAGCAGAATAACAACAGCTGCATGTGACATACTGGTCAACATCTGTGTGTCCTTCAGGAACTGGGACACGGGAGCTCTCCTGGAGCTATATACAACGAAAGTGAGACCCACACTTGAGTATGTAGCCCCAGCATGGAACTCTTACCTGAAAAAGTACAAGGATACACTAGAAAAGGTTGAAAGATATGCAACGAAATTTGTTACTGAGCTGAAGGGATTAAGCTATGAGGAAAGACTGAGAGTAATGGACTTTACCACACTAAAAGAAATGAGAAATAGGGAAGATATAGCAGCAACATATAAGATTCTTAGGGAAATTAACAAGCTGGACAAAACAGCTTCGTTCAAAGCTAGGAACAGGAGAACGAGGGATCAAAAATGAATCGCAATTGAGTCACAGAAACATTAGAAAGATCTTTTTCAGTGTCAGAGCTGCTGTCAATAAGTGGAATAGATTAGACACAGAAGTCGTTGATTTAAATTCGATTCAAACTTTTAAATGTCAATATGATAAAAGCGTGAGAAATGAATCACTGCATAAATCTAAGAACGTTCGGAAGGCGGGGCCAGAAGCCTAGCTCGACCCTGCAAGCACATCAAGGTGAGTACACACACACACACACGCCTGACTTGAATGAGATTGTGTATGACAATTTGAGCCAAGTTTTCCTGAAGCCGAGTCCTTGTCACGGGTGAGTTACATACAACGCAGATTGAATCTCACCTTCAGTTATTTTATTTGTTCTTTCCTGCTGATAATTGGTGGTGGGTGTGGCGCAGAGGATGATATGCACACTTTTTGATAAGTCAAGCTAAGCACCCTTGGGATTGGCCAATAGACAAAGAGATAGAAAGGCAGACAAGAGACAAACAACAATATACGAACATGCAAACAGAAAGAGACTGGGAGTCAAACAGCCCACAGTGAGAGAGAGAGAGAGAGAGAGAGAGAGAGAGAGAGAGAGAGAGAGAGAGAGAGAGAGAGATTAAGAGAGTGAGAGAGAGAGAGAGATTAAGAGAGATAGAGAGAGATTAAGATAGATAGAGAGAGAGAGAGAGAGAGAGAGAGAGAGAGAGAGAGAGAGAGAGAGAGAGAGAGAGAGAGAGAGAGAGAGAGAGAGAGAGAGAGAGAGAGAGAGATTAAGAGAGATAGATAGATAGATAGAGAGAGAGAGAGATTAAGAGAGTGAGAGAGAGAGAGAGATTAAGAGAGAGAGAGAGAGAGAGAGAGAGAGAGAGAGAGAGAGAGAGAGAGAGAGAGAGAGAGAGAGAGAGAGAGAGAGAGAGAGAGAGAGAGAGAGAGAGAGAGAGAGAGATTAAGAGAGAGAGAGAGAGAGAGATTAAGAGAGATAGAGAGAGATTAAGAGAGATAGATAGATAGATAGATAGAGAGAGAGAGAGAGAGAGAGAGAGAGAGAGAGAGAGAGAGAGAGAGAGAGAGAGAGAGAGAGAGAGAGAGAGAGAGAGAAGATAGATAGATAGAGAGAGAGAGAGAGAGAGAGAGAGAGAGAGAGAGAGAGAGAGAGAGAGAGAGAGAGAGAGAGAGAGAGAGAGAGAGATAGATAGATAGATAGATAGATAGAGAGAGAGAGAGAGAGAGAGAGAGAGAGAGAGAGAGAGAGAGAGAGAGAGAGAGAGAGAGAGAGAGAGAGAGAGAGAGAGAGAGAGAGAGAGAGAGAGAGAGAGAGAGAGAGAGAGAGAGAGAGAGAGAGAGAGAGAGAGAGAGAGAGAGAGAGAGAGAGAGAGAGAGAGAGAGAGAGAGAGAGAAGAGAGAGAGAGAGAGAGAGAGAGAGAGAGAGAGAGAGAGAGAGAGAGAGAGAGAGAGAGAGAGAGAGAGAGAGAGAGAGAGAGAGAGAGAGAGAGAGAGAGAGAGAGAGAGAGAGAGAGAGAGAGAGAGAGAGAGAGAGAGAGAGAGATAGAGAGAGAGAGAAGAGAGATAGAGAGAGAGAGAGAGAGAGAGAGAGAGAGAGAGAGAGAGAGAGGAGAGAGAGAGAGAGAGAGAGAGAGAGAGAGAGAGAGAGAGAGAGAGAGAGAGAGAGAGAGAGAGAGAGAGAGAGAGAGAGAGAGAGAGAGAGAGAGAGAGAGAGAGAGAGAGAGAGAGAGAGAGAGAGAGAGAGAGAGAGAGAGCGAGAGAGAGAGAGAGAGAGAGAGAGAGAGAGAGAGAGAGAGAGAGAGAGAGAGAGAGAGAGAGAGAGAGAGAGAGAGAGAGAGAGAGAGAGAGAGAGAGAGAGAGAGAGAGAGAGAGAGAGAGAGAGAGAGAGAGAGAGAGAGAGAGAGAGAGAGAGAGAGAGAGAGAGAGAGAGAGAGAGAGAGAGAGAGAGAGAGAGAGAGAGAGAGAGAGAGAGAGAGAGAGAGAGAGAGAGAGAGAGAGAGAGAGAGAGAGAGAGAGAGAGAGAGAGAGAGAGAGAGAGAGAGAGAGAGAGAGAGAGAGAGAGAGAGAGAGAGAGAGGGTGGGAGGGACTGGGACAACCCAGGCACTGCCAGCTACCCCATCACGAGATGGGGACATACAGTAAACAATATATCAGTACCTATAAAATAAGAATATCTGTCTCTCCGAGGTTGTAGGTCAGATACTTGCTTATTAGTCTTATGCAATTTTCAAATGTGATTCATGTTTGTATGGGGGGCGTCATAGGGGGGTGGGACCAGGTCGGCCCCATATCTCTACTTAAGTAGGATTGCTTCCTTTTGCGACAATCAATGCCACCTGTATAGTCTGAAATGGAGAATTGGGTTTCCTTAGAGTTTTTCACTTTATTTTCAGCTGTTCATCCCACAGGTGGCTGCATGTGACGGATCTCCCAATCCTGAGCACTCCAGTTGCAAACTCTGTGAGCAGGAACTACGGCACGATCTCCCACACTACATCACTGAATGCCCAGTTATTAGATCTTTCAGACCAGTTGGCATGAGGTACCTGGAGCTTTGCAATTACTTTATTCACTCTCTTATTCTTGAAGATATCCTCACAGTGTACCCAAAATTTGCCAGTGCAGGCTATTAAACACATGACTCTGTATGACTAACCATCTTGCGAGATGGGGACTTGTATTACCACTGCTACCTTACTCAATCTTGTGTTGATGATATCCTCAAAATGCATCCGGAGTCTACCAGTGCAGACCGCTTATCACATGCCTCTGTATGACTAACCATCCTGTGTGATGGGGATTTTTTTAGCATCACCTAGTTAGCTTTTTTGACACACTGTACCCCACTTCATATAGTCTTGGGTAGCTGCACTAATGCAGATGTACCTCATGTATTAATAAACAATCACAATGCGCATCACACAGGTAAGACACAATGTTGTTGCAAAGTAACGGTAAACATGCACAATGAAATCACTTTAACGTGATGTGTCAATGAGAAAATCAGTAGGAGCAATTGAGGAGGATTCGAACTTGGTACTCTTAGGCTGCATTGCTTTTACCATGTTGTGGTGTAGTGGTCTGAGGAGTACATGAAGTGAGGGGGTCGAACCCTCATCATGGCTCCTACTGACTTTGTCAAAAAAAAAAGAGAGTGTGAGAGAGTGAGAGAGAGAGTGTGTGTGTGTGTATTCACCTAATTATGCTTGCGGAGGTTGAGCTCTGCTCTTTCGACCCGCCTCCCAATAGTCAATCAATCAACTGTTACTAACTACTATTTTTTTCACAATACACACACACCCAGGAGGCAGCCCATAACAGCTGTCTAACTCCCAGGTACCTATTTACTGCTAGGTAACAGGGACATCAGGGTGAAAGAAACTCTGCCCATTTGGTTTCTGGGAATCGAACCCCGGTCCACATGACTACGTATCAAACGTGCTGTCCACTCAGCCACCGGCCCCTGCCACACACGTGTGTGTGAGTGTAATACTCGGGCACCGCCTGGTACCCCCCATATAGTGCGCATTTTAAGCAGTGGTTGCACATAATTCTTCGCCCACCTTAAATTAATATTCCACAAACTTTCCTCGTCTTAATCAGCTGGAGACAGACCGTCGGTAGATAAATTAATCTTATCTGAAGTTTCAAACATACGTAATATGCGTATGGCTCGATATATTATCTTTCTTCAATGCAATATATCACTTCGATCAATGAAATACACCTTTATGAGCTATATAGCCTCGTTAAAAGAACATAATATTAAACTCTCAGAGTTTTATACATCTGAAAATTTGAGACTGAAACGCCAACAAATATGTATTCAGTTTATATAATCAGTGTTGGGCAGTGAGGAAATATATCGTAATATTCAGCTTATACATGTGTGATAATATATTAATGATTGCTAGGCTATTCCATAGGGGGGGGGTGATAAAAAACAAACAGAGAAATGTAGATAGACACTTAGGGTTTCCTCTTGGTAAAGTACATGCAGTCTACATGAAGGGTTTCTTCCCCCGATGATTGCACGAGTCCTGTGGTTTGGGTCGACTAAGAACATAAGTTGGTTCTTGGGTTGTTTACCTGACAAACAGCCGCCCGACCGGTATAAACTCTAGCTATAATCATAAGGTTAATTAAAACAGAGCATCAGTTTAATACTACGAAATTAACATAAATAATACTAAATAGAACTCATCATGCCTATTTGCACATTAGGTTACATATTTACTAGTTTGAGACACATAAAATTACCCCCCCTAGTGTTTTTCAGTGTTATTGACTACTTGTAGTGCGGCTGTTGTGTGTGTGTATTCACATAGTTGTGCTTGCGGGGGTTGAGCTCTGGCTCTTTGGTCCCGCCTCTCAACTGTAAATCAACTGGTGTACAGTTTCCTGAGCCTACTGGGTTCTATCATATCTACATTTGAAACTGTGTATGGAGTCAGCCTCCACTACATCACTGCCTAATGCATTCCACTTATTAACTACTCTGACACAGAAAAATTCTTTCTAACGTCTCTGTGGCTCATCTGGGTACTAAGTTTCCACTTGTGTCCCCTTGTTCGTGTCCCACCCGTGCTGAAAAGTTTGTCTTTGTCCACCCTGTCAATTCCCCTCAGAATTTTGTAGGTGGTTATCATGTCTCCCCTTACTCTTCTGTTTTCCAGGGATGTGAGGTTCAGCTCATTTAGCCTTTCCTCGTAGCTCATACCTCTCAGTTCCGGGACGTGCCTGGTGGCATACCGCTGAATCTTCTCTAACTTTGTCTTGTGTTTAACAAGGTATGATCTCCAGGCTGGAGCTGCAGCCCAGCTGTGCTGCACACACACACACACACAGCTGCAGCTGTGTGTGTGTGTGTGTGTGTGGATCAGAGTTAAGCCAGTTGTTAAGTCTTACACTAGTAGTGTGTGTGTATCTGTCTTCTCTGTACAACACACAGGCTGCTGCAGTGCCACCTGTTAACGACTCTATAACATGTAAGCATAGTGATCATGCG